GGGGGAGCAGGGCGATGGAAGCGAAGGCCAGGTCAGGCCACTGAGTGCAGGAGACCTGGMCCCACACTTGCTCTCTCAGGACGGACTTGATGCCAAATGGCACAAAAGGCTCGCAAAGACAACATCCCCACCAGGCAGGGTCTGCTGTTCTCAGATGACTGGTTGATAAAGAGGGCTCACCTTTCATGTCGGAACACTTCCTTCCCCTTCTTTCACTTTAAGCACTTCCTCTCAGAATCACAGAAAGCTTTCAGTTTCTACTCAGCCCCTTGAAAACATGCCCTGAGCACCTACTGTGTGCGCCACGTAGGCGCTGGGGCCACAAGGAACAGTGGGCAGGTGAGGCTCTGAGGGGAGGGACGACTCTAACCACACGCTTCCCAAGCACCCACTGTGACAGAGTGGCAGGGCATGGGGTGTCTGCCCACTCAGGCAGGTCAGGAGACTCAGGACAGCGAGGGGCAGCAGGTCAGTGAGGCCAGGCGGGCTGAGGGGCGTAGTGGTCACGCTGCCTGTTGGGCAGCGACCACATGGGACCTGGAAGGAGACTGACCAGAGCTGGGATGGTGCCCAGGGGCTGGGAGTCGCTGCGGTGGAGACAGGGCCGGGGTCAAGGTGGCTGGAGGGGGCCGCAGGCGTGCGGGGAGCACCTTGTGCCTCCCAGGGCAGCGCTGCCCAGCCCGAGCACACGTCTGGCCTGTCTCCCACCAGATGTAACTGGCTCCATGCAATCAAGTAACTGTCCCTGTGGCAGGGTTCCAGGTTTGCATCAGCCAATGAGTGGTATTAGGGCGGCTGTAAGTGCCACAAAAACTGGCAGGTGAGCTGCTCCTAATAACAAGAGCACTGCCTCCCAGGGAGAGGCAGCTGCAGCCCAAGACCAGCGTCCAGGGACCCCACTCTGTGCTCTCAAGGTTGTCCCTGAAAAGACAAGCTCAAGGGTGCTCAGGATGCTGGAGGAAGGAGAAAGGGCAGCAGTCACAGGGCTGGGGCCATGACCGTCAGGCGCCGGATCCTGTGTGGGATTCAGTACATTCAGTAACTGGTGCTACCCTAAGGCCCAAGTGCCTCTCAAAGGATGTATTTAAGTCACAGAGAGGCCATCTAACCTGCCCAAAGGAACACAGCATATAARTGGTTCAGACAGGATTCAATCTCGACGTCTGTGGGAACCAACTCAGACGTAATCACCGTGTGACGCCCYGAGAGTTGGATTTAAGAAGCAAGAGAGTGGTGAGGCAGGGAGCTAACGGGGAATGGACGTCTCCAACCATTTACAGTGACTGAGCAGGTGAGGGTGAAAGTCAGAGAACGACAGAGGCTTCGAAGACCAAGAACACCAAGCTTAGGACTCCACAGCTCCAGGCTGAGCTTCAGTGAGCAGCACTTGTGACGCCCCAGTGTGACCCTTCTGCAAAGAGGCGGGACCTGGCGGGCAGGGTTTCTGTAAGGATGTGTGCTCACTCTAGGAAGTAAAACGGCTTCTGCACTCTGGAACACAGAGGTTGAGGAAGCGCCCTGCAGTGCAGGGGAGCAGCCGCTGGGGGTGCAGGTCCCGTGGGGACTGGGGGCAGCACACCTAGAAGTACCCAGGGAGGGCCCCTGATTCTGGATCTACCCTACTCGGAACCACCAGGTAACACTGGGCTAGCAGGGTCGGGGGAAGTTTACATAAATAAAGTAAGACGTTTCTTTTAGGAACAATTAACAACTGAGATCGTTGTCTTCCTATCTTTAAAGAAGGGAGTTGAGGTGGGGAACAAGCTGACTAGCTTCTGACAACTATGCTGTCACTGGGACAGCATCAGGGAGGCAGAGGGAAGCCCAGGTGGCACTGGTCCGGGGCACTGCAAGCTGAATGCCTGTCTGGGGAGAGAGCAGTGCTGGGGGTGGCCGTGACTCCCAGGAGACCTGCAATGATGCTGAGGTCCTCAGGTGCGTGGGTTTCTATATGCTGGAACTTTCTTCAGAGGGCGTGGGCAGATGAGGGAACCAGGGCCCTGTGTATGCCTGCTCCCGGCCTCTGGGCACGTTCTGCTCGCTGGCCAGCAGACACTGTGGCCCTCACCAGCACACAGTGCTCGGTGTCATGGCTCCTGGAAGGAGGGCAGCTTGGGTGGAACATGTCCTCTTGTTCCCCAGGAGCTGTGGAGCCTACTCGGTTTCAAGACAGGCACTGCTCCACAGAAGGAAGGTGCAGTTCTGTGCCGGATGTTGCTAAGGGGCCTCTCAATATCTCACCAAAGCACCACTGTGTGTGCGCGGTGTAGGTGTCTGGGGAGGGGCCGTGTGGACAGGTGTGTGTGTCGGTGTCAGAAGAGGCTCTGTGGCTACGACTGTATCTCTAGGTGCAGGGGAAGACACTGCTCCCTTTCAGAACTGAGGCCTGGAAGGTGACAGACATCCAGTTATTAAGAGCTCATTTGGAGACATTATTTATTTTCTTGTTCTAAAATGCGGTGGAGTGAAGGGATAAAGGCAAGGTGGAACGCCAAGTCCCTTTCATGTTGAGTGGAAATGCCTGATGGTCAACAGCCCTCGGCCCTACCCTCAATTCACACTTCAGCAGCTTGAACTTCCTGCCTGGGGTGGCAGGGAGAGGGCTCTGGCTCAGTGTGGTGGACTTGGTAGCAGGTATCACAGCTTTGCACTCGATGTGCAGTTATTCTGGCAGTGAAAGCTGCACTCTGGAGAGTGGATGAGTGTGGACGATTCAGTGCTGCTCATCATCCCCCTCACAGAACACGGGAGCCCCTTCTCTTTCCTGACAGATGGATTCAGAAGAGGCTCAGCATGGCAACTGTGGCCAAGCCCCATTCTCTGCACCTTGTGAGGTTTAAAGGACTGTTCTTTCCAGTCCTTGAAAAGGAGCAATCTGCAGTTGCTCGAGCCCGACTGAGGTGTGACAATCTGCCAGGTCTCTCTGCCGCTCACAGTGGCCACAATTACACGGTCCGTGTGYAGGGGAGCTGCAGACATTCCTCCCCAGGAGCAACAAGGCTCCCCAGCACAAAAGTGCCCACTGCATCCTCAGGAAAGGCAGGGTGGGAGAGTGGGGAGGGAAGGGCCTGGCGAAGAAGGGCACAACGGAAGAGGTGGCTAAGCAGAGTGGTGACATGGCAAGAACAGAGAGCGGCACTGTCACGGCCGAGTAATCCTATGACACACTGCTGTCACTCACCACCCAGCTCCCTGCCGCGCCAGCCAGACATCAAAGGCCGCCCCACACCATCTTACATGCTCCTTATCAGCTAATCAGCCCATTCTTTCCTGAATAAAGCCCTGTTAAATCCCCCGCTCACAGGGGTATCATGGTCTTGGTGCCCATCTGTTAGCCAGGGTCAGCTCAGGCAGGAGGYGGCAGTTGCTCCCTCCCTAGCGGCTCCTCAAGGTAGGACAATGCTGCCTCAATCCCCTGCCCAACTGCCTCCTGCTTTGTGTCCTGGGGCTGGGGCCGGACAGGATGGCCGCTCTGGGCAGAGGGGCTACTGTCTGGGCCAACACTTACTCGTGAAGTTTCCATCCTAAAGGCAGATCGTCTGAGAACAGTAAGATGTGGGGACTGTTTGTGTTCTCCAAAAGCAAAATATACCGAGGCACTGTTCCTAACAGTGGTCACTGGGCAGGTCCACTCCCGCCTCCTCAAAGAGCCAGTGTTTTACAGACGGTGGCAGGACATTCAGGCTAAACGCTCAAGCTAGGAGGCCCGTCAGACGTGGACTGGGGAGCCCGTGGTTTTGCTGCAGTATGTGCTGGTACCAATGACACCTAAACCAAAGACAGGGACCCAAGTCTGGGGCGCTGGAGTCCTAGCCCAGCCACAAGGCCTGGGGGTGGAGCGAGGAGGGGGCAACAGCACACAGCACATGCAGGACTCCACACACCTGCCTCTCAGCAAAAGCAGGGCCTGGTCCTACCTGAGAGGTCACGTGAGGAAGAACCCTCAAGTTCCGAGCCTAGAGAGGTCTCGCCCGCAGGTCATCTAGCCCGGCACCTCGTTCCTCTGCCTTCTAGCTGTCTGACTGTCCACTTGGTTTGAAAGGTGTACTCACCTGTGTCACCTGATCTCAAAACTAACATGGGCTTTCTTCTCCCTTTTGCAGGTGAGGAGACAGAGGCTCCGAGATATTGAGCAATGCACATCCGAGGGCAACTGAGGTCCATGTCCCCCGACTCTCAAGCTGTCATTCCACACGGGTTCAGGCTGCAGCAGGAGAGGCCTGTGCCCACTCCTTCCCTGTGTGCCCTCAAGTCTCAGGGCTGAGACCAGTGTGCTGCCTGTGCCCGGCTCCTTGCAGAGTACTTGTGGGGTCTCTAGAGCTCCAGCTACGGCAAGGGCTGGGCCTGGTGCTCAAAGAACACCTCGTCCTTGAGGAGAAGACGACTTTCTAATGATGTCTGATGGGTGGTCGTCCTGGTACTGTGCGGCCAGACGCAGCCCACAGGGGCAGCACCCCTTTCTGGTCCTCCTCTTACCAGCTCTTGCTGTTCGGGACGCTCTCTTTTGGGGAAAGAGGACGAGTTCACTGCTCTAAGCCCTCAGTACCAAGGTGTCTCAGCCCCACGTGGGGCCCAGCCCAGCGTCAGCCCCTGGGGCTGGTGTGCTGCACACCTGGGTGTCCTTGGCTCCTGGAGCCCAAGGCTTGGCACTCACCCTTCCCATCTCAGGAGGACAGGCCTGTTATCAGGGATAATCACAGAGTACACCAGGAATCCACTGCCCGGCCCCAAGGCTCACTTCCACTAGGACATAAGGACAACTTGTAAGGACTCCGTGCTCCACAGTCCCCACTGTGCGGGCCCAACAGAGACGCCAGGGAACTTCTGGAGGACTGGGTGTTTTTCCTCTTATTTCGGGTGCTTATTACATAGAAATAGGCAGATCCTAGTGATAATTCACCACAAAAAACAAATACGAAGGCATGCTGGTCCACCAGCCCACTGCAGCACTTCACCACTCCTTGGCGCTGCTCGGATCCACGGGGCTCAGTTCGTCCTACCTTTTCAGGTTTGCCCTCCTCTTCTTCGCAGTGGAGACACTGAGATTCCTGGGTGCATCTCTGAGCCCAAAGCTCTTGGCCACGTGCCCAAGGTGGAGGGATCGTACGTGGAAGATGTGCTTCAGCTCCCTGGGATAGGCAGCATAGGCGCGGATGAAGGACTGCAGGGCTAGGAGGGATGAGAGAGGCTGTCAGGACTGGGTCCTGAAGTCCACAGCCCCCAGACTGCTGCGTACCCCAGGTCTTTATCTCCCCAGGCAACGGAACCCAACCAGGACGGTTATAACACAGTCGGCCTAAACCTATACTTCTGCGTATATTTAAAATTCCTAAACAATCATAGTCACATTTACTTGATAAAACCAACACAATCTCTGATTTTACTCCAGAGTTTGTAATAATCCAAGGGCAGAGGACCCTGTTTCTTTTCTGGGTTGTGGTCTCGGGACCCAGTGCAGGCACTTGACAAATGTTGTATAAATGAATGAGGTGAGAATGGGTGAAGAAATGAAGAGTTGATCACACAGGWCATCACCTTCTTAYAAAAATGAGGGAATTGTTAGACAGCTACATTAGGAAAATTTTTTTCCTGATTGAATTTGCTGTATTGGTTAATGCGTGCATTTCAAAATTCAGGAAGTTGAAAAGGCTTTATCATTCACTATGAATATGACAGTGCTTCTTGGCACCCTGTCCACACTTATCACCACCCAGCCCCCGGTATGTTCATGAGATTTTAGGACCAAGTTCTTCCAACAGTGTCCGGGACTGACCAACACAGCATGTCTAACTCACTCAAAGAACGTGTAAAACAGAAAATGAAAAAAGAAATGCGAAAAAAAAAATTTAAAAGGAAAAATATTAAATATCTAAAACAGTCCAGGAAATAGTCTGCCCCAAGGATGGCCAGAGGTAGGAGAGCCCATCCAGCATTGTGTAGGGAGAGCTACAGTCCCACTTGAAGTGAGGAACAGGGGTGCTTCCTCTGGACCCCAGCTCCGGCCAGCACAGAGCCAGACCTGGCTCCCAGGGGCTGCAGCACCAGCTGMCTCTCAACACTCCTTTGGGAAAGGCTTTCCTGTGTGCAGCTCCTGACTGYCTCCCAGTGACGCTGGAAACTGCTGCCTGCCCCTGCTCAGGCCTGCAGGGTCGAGGGGCACGTTCTGAAGCGTGTTCTGCGTGCCACCACTGCCTGCTATCCTTCCAGACCCTGCTCCCCTGAGGCAAGCTGGAGCCCAGCACTGCGCGGACGAGGAGGCAGCACCTGCCAGCCCCCCTCACCTTGCCTGCTGAGCCACTGGACTGGCAAGTTTGCCCACAGCTTAGGCGCAATATCCCAGCAGCACCTGGAGATCGGCGTTTATGAACAGTAATAAAAAGTGTCATTTTAACAGATCAGCTCCGGGAAGGATCCTGGGAATCCATCAAAGCTCTATTTACTGAGCAAAGTGAACTCCTTTTCCCAATCGATAAGAAATAATAACCACGGCAACTCCTCGGCACCCCTCTTAAATCCGTGCTCACTCCCTTTTTAATAACCAGGGACTAGCTTTTTCAAAGAGAATCTTTAACACTTCAAATGGACTGCACTGCCTGGAGGGTTCTGACACGGGGCTCCCAGCCACAGAGCCACACAGCCCTGTCCTCGGAGAGGAATGCTGCCCCACCCTGGCGAAGGCCAAGAGGTGAGCGGCTCTACCCTCCCTCCTTCCCCCAACCCCAACCCTTACTCTGGCCTACAAACTCCAGACATACACAAGAAAAACAAGAGCCTGCACTTTAAAGAACAGGGTCACCCCGGTGCTGGTCCAAGGCCTCCTCACTTCCCACCACACCCCTGCACAAGCAGACAAGCCCTAGGCCCCCACCTTGCTCACCTGCTCCTCCTCATATCACCCTAACGCCCAGCACAGGTGTCTGTCCCAGGAGACGCAGTTGCCCAGYGCCAAGCCTCACAGGGATAAGGAGACTGCCAAGCATGGTGGGAGAGCTTCCTCCCAGACAGGGGGCCAGGCAGCATCTCTTGCTGCACACCCTCACTGACTCCTCGTCCTCCGGGCCCGCATCTCACYGGGGACAGCAACAGTGGGCAGTCCTTGTGGACTTGCGTGGACTCCTGTACCAGGATAATTCAGAGAGGCAGGGGTTTCTGATGCAGCCGGGTAGAAGTGGCTCATGCTGGCAGCGTCCAGAATGTGCAGAAGCAACAGAGCTGTGGCACCAACACRGCAGAAAGTGGAGAATTGGAGAGGAGATGTTTATTTGGGTGGACACATGAAGCTGCAGGCAATGAGAGTGGAGTCCACAGCTGCTGCAGATTCTGACTTCCAGACAACTACCTAAGGTGCACGAATTAGGGGGAATAGAATTAAAATAACCCACATGGACATCTRTCCTTCTTCAATCCTGACATCTGGATCAGGAATAGGGATATCTCACAGATGATTCCTAAGATGAAGAAGGCAGACAGGGACAGCATCACAACCGCAGGTCAACCCCAGCTCCTCAGGACACCCTTTGGTAGGAGGTGGGTGGGGACAGGCATGTGCACCTTCCCACCTTCCCACCTGAGGTCRACAGCGACCATTCCCAGAGGATGCAGGAAGGAGGCACTCTGCTCTGAGCCTCCCGGAGACACAGGGTTTGGGAAAGGGCCAGCTTGCCCTGATYCCAGGGACCTGCCATCCCTGGCATGGGTGTTCTGGGCTGAGAAGTGTCCCTTCTAAGAACAGGCAAAAATGCCACACGGGGGTCCTGCTCTCCAGGGTGGCCTAAGATGGAAAGGAGTAAGCCGTAGGAGCAATGGTCACGGGCCACCAAAGGAYCCATTTTTCCTCATTTTTGCTTGGGAGCCTGCAGTTCAAATGCATGCTACCACTCTTTATGGGACCTGGATCCCTAAACTAAGAGATTAAGGAATGAGAAAAAAACAAGGTAACTGCTCCTAGAAGCTGGGAGCAGTAAAAGCTGGCCACACCTGGGCTGGTGGCCTCCACATCCCAGCAATGTGGGAGGCTAAAGCAGGAGGACTATCACGTTCAAAGCCAGCTCAGCAACTTAGTGAAACCCTGTCTCAAAATGAAAAATAAAGAGGGCTGGGGATGCGGCTCAGTGGTTAAGCGCCCCTGGGTTAAAACCCCCAAACCCCACCTCCCCACAAAAGCTGGTCACTAACAGTGACTGGGCTGGAAATCACAGGARACAAGCGCACCAGGCCCCATTTCTAATAGTGTCCTGTCATAAAGGCAAAGCAAGCACCATCACTCATACAAGACCTCTCCGAAATGGCACAGCAGGGAGGCACAGAGGCCGACCTGCACTGTGTTCAGTTCCTGAGAGGTGGCAGACGCATGTGCATTCCCGGGCTCAAGGTCCCAAGCCAAAGAAGCAGGGAGAGAACAGAGAAAAGCCGGAGGCTGAAACGGGCGAGCAGACCAAGTGAAGGGCTGGCTGTTCCCACCACTTCCAGCCTTTGAGGAAACTGATGATAAATGAGGGAAATGACGTATTCACTTCCCTCAGCACATAATGTTGGGGAGCAGCCCTGCTCCCACATCCTTACAACAGGAGAAAAGTAACTCTGCTTGTTTCTTTCTYTTTCTTTTTTTGGTACCAGGGATTGAACCCAGGCGCGCTTAACCACTGAGCCACGTCCCCAGCCCTTTTTATTCTTTGTTTTTAGACAGGGTCTTACTAAGTTGCTGAGGCTAGCTTTGAACTTGTGATCCTCCTGCCTCAACCTCCCAAGGCACTGARGTCACAGCTGTGGCACAACATCTGCTGCTTGTTTCCTGAACATTCTGCAGGGTGACACACCATGACCTGCTGGGAGGACCCAGGTGGCTCCATAACCGCAGCCTTGCCAAAGTCCTCAGAAAGCACAACACCAAAATCCAAAGACGGCGCGTGGGCCTGCTCTCCTCTCCATTGAGACTGCTGTGGCCCTGGACTTGGGCTGGCTGGCAGCCCAGATTTGATCAGAGGTGGCAACTCTGTAAAGTCACACTGCGACAGATATTTCATTCCTCTTTGAAGTATTCTAGAACTCAGAGGTGACTAGGAAGACCCCTAGGAATCGCTGAGTTCACTTTTGGAGATGCTAAGACAGAAAAGACTATCCCAGAAAAGACTAGAAGGCTACGTCCTACCCTTAGTGACAATTACAGGGATTTCATCTTTCCCCTCGTGCATTCTTTCATGATGTGCTAAAGGTAGATGACAGTTACTTGAAATAACTGATAACCTGCTGTGGGATTTTGGGTCAGYGCTGGGGATGGAACCCAGGGCCTCATGCATGGGAGGCAAGTGCTCTGCCTCTGGCACTTGTTTTATTCACCCGATCCCTGATGGCCACACTAGTCCATGCCCAGTCTCCTGATGGCTGCCCCTGCCCCCAAGGGCCCTGTCTCCCCAGAAGCCAGCTCATCTTTCAGGACATGAGCCTGATCGTACTGTGTCCCTGCTGATAGCCGTCTGATGCGTCTGTTCCATTGAGAGTCAAACCCCAAACCTCAGCGCCACCTCCAGGCCCTCTGTGACTCCACCTCCCACCTCCCACCTGCCGGGTGGTCCCACGCCTGGAGCACCCTTCCTTGAGACACCCTTCCTGCTCTTGCTCATCTTGCTCTTGGGTTCCCCTCCCTGATGGGGCGTAATCTGAGCCTCCTGTTTAAGAGGCAGGCTGTCTTGTGGCCCCTTCATCCCCTGCCCTGCTCTACTTCCCCACAGCCCTCACCGTGCTGCCACCAACTTACTACCTTCATGCTCGATGCTGCTTCTGTGCCCACTAACGCTCTGGCTTCACGGGGGTGAGGATGTCTGTYCTGGTCCTTCATGTCTCTGAAGCACCCAGAATGGTGTCCGATTCAAAATTATTGTTGAATAAATGATTTAAAAAGATACTTCTATTTTTAAAAAATATTTATTTTTTAGTTGTAGTTGGACACAATACCTTTATGTTATTTATTTTTATGGGGTGCTGAGGAGCGAACCCAGGGCCCTGCAGGTGCTAGGCGAGCGCTCTCACACTGAACCACAACCCCAGCCCCAGATACTTCTATTTAAAAAAGAAAGAAAGGGTGCCACAGAGTTTTTATAGTGGTTAGCCTGCTGGACATTTTTCTCAAAATCGTGGGTAACTAACAGAAAGAACTCTGCTTCTTCTACTCGAAGGAATACGTGTCAGCACAGCGACCATTGCCAGCCAAGACATTCCTCCACCCTGCCCAGCCCRCCCAGCACTGGCTACTCAGGTCAACTGCTCCTACAGAGGGTCTGGCCACTGCCAGCACGCCACCTTCCATGGCCCATGCCCCCACAGCACAGGCCACCCCTCTGTGCATCTTCAAACAGGAACTGTCTGGATTGAACACTTGAAGCCCGGGGCTTTACTTATAATTTCCACCTCAACTACTAATTCAACTGATGTGTGGTATCTCTTCCATTTAGTGTTCAAAGAAGGAAAACGGATCCCCAAGTTCCAAGTTGTAGACTTGGGTCAAAGCTCTGGCCCTGATGTAAGCCAAGGTAAAGTCTCATTTGTGCACAGGATGGGGAAGGGTGAAATTAACATTTAATATCACTCTAAGGCCCTTCATGCCTGCTTCCAGGCCTGCAGAATCACGGAGACTGCAGGCTTCACGGGAAGCAGCGATGGCTGGTGCCTCTGCACCCGAGCGGGGGTGGGAGTGAGGCTGGGTCAGCACCCTGCTGGGCTGGTCCTCCACAATCACCTGCGAAATCCACTGACCTTTCTTTGCCCAGGAGACCGTCCTCTCGCTGGAGTGCACGTAATCTTCAAATACTGTCTGCAAGACTGTGGCTCGCTCACGGATTTCCTGGGGGCCAGCAGCGTGGGATTTCTGGGAGGGTGATGGAAGGATTAAAGGAGAGACAGAGTTGAAGTCAGGAATAATGAAGCAGTTTATAATAGATTTAATAACAGTAAAACCACACAGTAACCACCCAGGGGCCAACGAGGGTAATCCTCTCAATATTACTAGGGAAAAAAGAGAGCTATCAAGATGTTGAAGTCAAGCAAAGATGCGGGTGGCTTTGTGAGGGGCAGACTGGGTCTGTGTGTTTATTTACTTACTTTTCCTCATGACCTCTTATCACTCATGTTCAAAATCAAAGACCATTGGAGACACCCTGGAATTTTCCAATTTAGCATTGAAAACACCACTGAATACAAGCTGTTTTCAAATAARTTTCTGTAAATTTTCTCCCTTCCCTCCCACTCACCAGTGGAAAATGGCAATTCCTCTCTAAGGGCATTCCAGTGACCTCCTGAAATTCAGCCTTAAAGTCACTGCTATCCTGGGTTTGCAGGGCATACTCCCTGGATCCCCAGAAGTTTCCTGTTTGTTCCTAGAGCCAGTTCCCTGCAGCCCATCATGGACCGGGCTTTCACAGCAAGTCTGGGCCACCGTAGTACTGTTTCCACTCACAGACCCACAGATGGAGAAGGGTCAGGAAGGGTGAAATTACTTCCTTTTCATATTTCATAATACCAGAGAAAAGATTTACTTTTTAATACCTCCACTAAAAAGTAGTGAATTTTGTCTTCTATTTCTTAACACAAACACGATGCTTCCTACTGAAGGTGCATTTGGGATTTGAGAGCACAGCCTCCCGAGCCTTCGAGGCCCACAGGCCAGGTGATGCCCACCATGGAGCGGTGCCCATGTGTGGCCCCACTTGCACCCCAGCCTCACACAGGCCGTGGGGGAAGTCCACATGGACCTAGGCTGCCACCCTCACCTCTGGAGCATGGGGTATGTGTGCCAGCGCAGGGCCCAACCTGGACACCCCTGGCTCCCTTCCACCCTTCAGGGTGACTGAGGAAGAACAAGGGGGCCAGGTGAGAGCCTCTCTCTGGATCGACACTCTTCTCTGTATTAATAGAAACTTAACAACCTGGAATGTTTTCAGTGTAGTCAAATCACCCCTGCGACCTGTTTGGCTGATGACAGTCTGGCTGATTCCACCGTATGTGGTCCCCCTAAGGGTTCTATCCACTAGGAAGTCAAGAGCAGAGTCACTCAGAAACCGTGTTACCAAAGTGGACATTTGCTATTGTCATTAACAAGGACCCCCCTTAACCGATGTGAAATGCAAACTCTTCCCGCTGCCCTCCTTTCGTTGAAGCCACCTCAGCAGCACCACTGTCACCTTGCCCGCGTCCTTTTTTTAATATGAATGTGAAATTAGTGAGGATGCCCTTTCCCCTGGCGGACAGAATCCTCTGTTATTAAAAAGTAAAGCACTTTAATAATGAAAACTTTTTCCTCTTTTTCCTGTGTTTTAACTGTTTAAAATTAATGAGAAGGGCAGAATGGTTGTCAAAGCGATATTGAAAGCCGGGCAGCCAGGACCGAATAAGCACAAGAATCCCTCTAGAGTGTTAAGTAAACAGAGCCGCAGCCCGCTCTGAATCCCTTCTGTTGGTTACTGTATACATTCTGTAACAGCTCTCAGAATAGATCTGAGAGCCAGGGAGGCAGGGAGGTTCAGAATTCCAATAAAGGCCTCAAATTAAAGACAGCCTGGTGCGAATTCCAGGAGAAAATTAAAGAGACCTCAAGCTTAAGTGACAGGTGACTTGCTTCTGTGTCACAACTGTCAGGGGATTTAGTGATAATATGGCAATATATTACAAAGGGCTTTTCTTATTCCCCCCTTTAGGTTTCAAAATGAGGCATCTTTTCTTCCCAACCAAAAAAAAAAAAAAAAAAAAAAAACCCCACCATATATATATAACGCAAGTGTATATACAAGTGAAATATGTAGAAAAAAACAATCAAACTAGGTTCACATATTTGAAATGATGAGGTCAGTTTTAGTAAAATATAAGAAAAAGTTAATGACAGAAAACATATTATACTTAGGAAAAAGCATGTCGTACTCTCCCCACCCCCACCTGCAGAAATACTCTAAGACGGCCCTCCTGAGAACCAATGGGGGCTTTTCAGCTGTCTGCGGGGCGGCGGGGTGGGCCAAAGCCAGGTGGAAACTGAAGACGGGGCAGAACTGCGTGGTGCTGCCACCCCAGAAGACAGGCAGGTACCTATAATGAGAGTGGGTCAAAACCGCGGGCACACAGATGCCCTGGAACTCGGAGCTGGTTAATGACGCTAGTCTGCAACGAGCAGCCCACAGGTAGTTTAGGAAGACACACATCCACTGTCCATCCGCACAGTCTGCCTCTGTCTCTAACGTCCTGCAGATCTTGGAAAGAGCAGACCAGTGGAACGCCGAGCCAGGGCTCTGATTTGACTTTAACACCTCGCAAGGCTGTGACAGTCTGTTGTCAGGGTAAGTCTGTAGGCACACCTCACAGGACAAAAAATTTGTAAGAAAAATATGCTGGGGTGTGCATGCTCTCTCTGGTGGTGAAGATCTCACACCCAAAGCGCAGCAGCAGAGGTGCCCGGTAACTGGGCAGGACCAGTCTGCTGCAGTGTTGGGGGGCAGTGGTGGGGAAGGCACGTGCCGCGGTATGTGCCCACATCGCCCACTTCCAAGGTATCTTTAACTAAATGGAAAGATTTTTTTTTAATCACTTGCCTGCCAAGCTGCGCTTCACCCCTTGGTCCCCAGAACCTTCTGAGTGCCTCCCAGTCAGGTTGAAAGATCAAATTTATTCTCTTTGTAGGTGGGTGAACACACACACCAAGAGGAAGCTATGTATATTTCATACACCTAAATATGAAATATACATTTTACAGATGCCTCACTCACTCGCTTTCTGTTCACAGAAGCCCAAAAACTCATGTGCCAAAGGGACATTTACCATGGACTCCAGTAGAGCTGGGTGCAGAGGAGGGTGCTGCAGCCAGAGCCCGAGCTCTATGTGAGGGGCTAGACTACTAGCCACATACACGAGCCCTGGTGCCCTGCCAGAGCCCCAGCAGCAAGGGGCGCCAGGGTGCCTGCGTCTCATGCGGAACAGAGCGAGCGGCGGTGCCCTGCATCTGCCTTGCTCTTCCCACCTCCGACACTGACTGCACACATAAGCCACTTTCCYAGGATATAGACCTATGTAATTAGTAACTGATTCAGTTTTTCTTTTCTTTTTTCTTTTTTGAATATAAGTTAAACTCAGTTCCACAATTAAATTCTTTAATGGCATGACATCTGGAACCCCATATGATTAATTTTCTAAGTTCACTATTTATTGTCAGGGAAACTCCTACCCTGCTTATTAACATTTTTTCTCTCTCTTTTTTTTTTTAAAAAAAAGACCACATCTTTATAGTGTTGTATCTAAGCTCACTTCCAGCTTAGGCAGGCCTTGCACGATGGGCTAAGACCGGCTCTGGCCTTAAGATCAGGCCCACAACCTGCAAGCACTCTCCACCCTGCTGTTTAAACCCCACAGCAGTGCTCTGAGCGGGCATTCCCACTCTCCACAATGCCCAGGCCACAGAGCTACCAGCTGTGAAGCAAGGATTCAAACGCAGGTCTGCCGACTCGGGACGCTCTTCCCTGAGACCGACAACGGCTCTTCCAGGCTCGGGAGATCCCTGAGGCTGGCCTCCAGCCAGGGAAAAGGCTTAAGAGAAGAATTGATGCTGCGAGTCCACAGAAGGGCAGATGTTAAAAAAATGGCGTAGGCTGTYGCTGAAAGGGCAGAGGGAACACAGCTGCTCTGTGCCCTGCTTGGGGACGTGTCCTTCAGGAAAGGCTCTACAGACGGACACAATGCTCATTCCCTGGAGAGAGAGAGAGGTCTATGTTCCCAGATAAAGACTGAAACCAAAGCGGGTCTGCAACCGGACATGTATGGTCAAGCCAGAGCCAACTTTTACTCTTTCATTTTGCAATTTCCCTTCTGGCTCTTATTTCTGGAGAGCAGGCAGATGCAAATGTTCCACTTATTTAGAAAAAAAAAAAAAAAAAAAAAAAAGCAGTGCACTGGGACCCATGTCACTGAGTCTGGGCTTCAACTTTACACCTGCTACCTTCTTGGGTGGCTACAACATTAATAGCAGTAAGGGACAGACTTTTCTGGGCTGTGCCCTGTACCCACCCAGCCCTCTGTGCCCCTTTCAAGAAGGGCACTATTGTCTCCTGATTCTGCACAGGAAGGGGCCAGCTTAGCAAGGTCCAAGACCTGCCAGAGCCTCACAGCTGGCGACAGATGAGGAGTCTGAGGCCTTGCCCCAACCAATGTGCCCTGCTGGCTTTGCAGCACCCCATGCTCCCAGCTGATCCCACAGAGCCAACTGCAGCCATGATGAAGCACTGAAACCCTAAGCGAGAACTTGCAGTAGTTCCAAGGAACAAAGTGTGTCAAGACCGATGATCATCTACACGGTGCCTGGTCATTCTAACAATGAACATACTCGTGACAAGGGATGGTCTGAGGTCTAGTAGAGCAGGGATGTTTTATGAGAAAAATTGCTCACRCACCTTGTTGATGAACTATGTCTATAATAGTTCTTTTTGATCACCACTATCTTTGTTGCGGTACCATTTACTGACCAGACTTCACACCTGTGAAAGTGGCTAAGATTACAAATCTAAAAGGCAGTTTAGGGCTGGGGACGGAGCTCAGAAGTACRGCGCTTGCCTAGCACATGTGAGGCTCCCGGTTTGATCCCCAGTACCGCTAAAACAAAACCAAGCAATACCATTTCATATTTCTGGTCGTGCGYACACAGGCACAAAGCACAGTCCAACGTGCCACCTGTGAATCCCAATGACCTGGTTTTGAGTCCCAGAAGGATCGGTGAGTGCCATTCTGCCCTCATGAAAGCTCCTCGCCCAAGTCTCGATCTCCTCACTGTCAGCTGGGGCAATGGTGACCTCACGGGGCTGCTAGGAGGACTAAATGGGATCCTGTGAGGTAACAGCTTGGCACATTCCCAGGTTCCAGACACACACTCCAGCAGCAAACCTTGTGACCTTCTCCTCTCCTCTGATCAGGTCAACTTATAACTCAGGCCAGGACCAGTCGTGGCCAATCCCTGTCTTGAGTGTGTCTGATCCACGTGAAGACACACTGCAGACTGTCTACTCCATCCTCAGGCATAAGAAGCCAAATGCAAAACAGTCAAGAAATGTGACAGACTCACACCCAGTGACACTACCCACATGTGTGGGTAAGGGCACACTGAGTGAACGGCTGGAGGGGACAGGGGACCGGAGGGTGGGTGGGCCTGACAGGCAGCTGTGCAGGGTGCTCAGGGCCACTGGAACGACTCACAGCCTCCACCCAGAACCACACGGAAACTGGGTCTTCTTCCTGTGTGGCGGCACCATGCGTTACAAACCAGGTGAAGCAGCGTGTGTGAGGCAGATAGATGCCTTCCTCCTGCCTCGCTGTCCAGGGCAGGAGCATTTAGTTAAATCACTCTCAAAATGACCCCCAGGGCTAAGCTGTGACACTGCCCTGGACTGGCTCAGGCCCAGATCTTTCTGGGGAGCCTGCTGCCACCCGGACTGAACAGACTGAAGCCCATTAGCTGGACGGGACCAGCGCACACATCCAGCTCAGAGGAGGAAGAGACACATCTGAGACTTGGCCTCCTCTGATGTCATGATCCTTGAGATGTGAGTTCTGCTTAACAGAAGAAAACTGGCACCTCCCACACAAGGTCTCCACCACCCCAGGGCCAGATACGAGCCTTAGCGGCCAGCAACAAGCACAATCAACAAGACTCACGTGGTTTCTTTTTCTTCCTTTAAAACAATCATCCTTTGTCAGAATGGACAAAATATCTTCCATCTTAACTTCAGAAATGCTGTAAAAGGAAACACACATCAAAGTAAACACTCTACTTTTTCAAAAACACTCCAAGCCCAATGCATAAAACCGGTCCATCTTCAAGCTAATCCATGCACAAGAGGACCCCCATGACACTGCAGCTCTTGGAATGTCCAGCAACTGCCCTCCTCTCTGAATGGAAGACAGTGTACATCTACAATCCCCTTCAGAGGGACAGTGCCATCATTTCTTAATAAATCTTGAATGCCACACAAGTAGGCTTGTTTGTTGAAGTCCTACCCCGACTTGAGCAGATGATGAAATAAACATCCTAGAGAATGTGAAAGGAGGAAGAAGAAAGGCACACTGGGCAGGCAAAGGCCCTCCATGCTGGGGACACTCCAGTGATGGGTGCCAGTCGCCCAGCCCGTGGGCTCAGCACCTCTGCTCTCTGCTCCTGCCATGGAGAACCGCCACTATTCCATTGCTTACATGTTCAGGGTAAGGGCCAAAGACCTATGCACAAACTGCTAAAACCAGAACTGGCTTCCCTTGTGAACAAAAGTCGAGCAGAACAAGAGACAAGTTTGGAAAGCCCACACTGCACCTGTGAGCCCAAGGCCACTGCCCTGAGCAGGGCGCACACACAGGCCCACAGTCAGAGAGTGCCATCTGAACTCTGAAATGCTACTTCCAGGGAGAAGGGAAAGGGAACAAACAATTCTGGGTGAGAAAACAGACAAAAAGATAAATGATCCGTTGTGGTCTTTTTAATGTACCAGCACACTGCAGCACGAGCAGCAGCCTTTGCAACGGTAGGGGACTGTCCTCCCCTTCCCCACAGGTCCCCCCACAAGGCCATGAAAACACCACTACTGAGACTGCCACTGGCTCCCCAGCCCCCACCCCAGTCCCTGCTCCACAGAGGAGGGCACAGCACCTGGGGCTGCTCCCATTCCTCCCGGGAGCCTCAAGGTGCCAACAGCCCTGTCCTGTCCTGCTCCAGCTCACCTGGCTCTCTTCAGCACCTTTCTTCTTGGGGGGCAGGGTACAAATGGAAAAGATCCTAAGAACTTGGAGTGAAACCTTGAAATGGGGGGAAAGGAAGGAAGAATGACGCCCCCACAGCCAGGGACACACACAGTGAAACAAGCCACAGCCAGGCCACGCGCTCAACGCACCAGTGTTTCCCCCTGGCCAGGGCATGGCCCGGGCACCTGGAGCACCAACAGCACTGCCCTAGGCACTCAGGAACCGAGAAGGAACCSGAGTGATTTCCAGTTTCAAAGGGCCTTCTTTCTGTATTTCTAAGAAATCGCTGCTTCTGAGGAACAAAGCAAATCTACAGTGATTATTTATGGTCCTATCAACAGCTCTGAATCACCCACCTTGCCAGGGGGAGAGATGGAAAAATAAATAAATCCAGGGTCTGTCTTATGCCTGATCTAAGATATACACAGTTTGATGCAGAATTTTCATTTTAATGAAGTCATGACTTTCATTATCAACACATTTAAAGGGGAAGCAGGGAAAGTCAGGGAGCTGGTGAACACAGAGAAGTCGAAAGGACACAGAGGCAGAGTTCTGGGCACACAGGCATGGCAGCAGTGGCCCAGGGCACCTGTCTCTTGCCTGGTCTGCTAAACTTAATTGTCAGGAYGCGCTCTACAGCACCCGTACATGAAGGTAGGCAGCAATTTGTTGTGATGCCCTTGCTGCCAAGAGCCTCTGCCTGCCTTCCTGCATCTTCTCTGCAATTCATCAGCCACCCGGCGTCCTGCCGCCTGGCTCCTGTGTGCTCAGGCACAAAACGCTTCCTCCTTCTGCATCTTCTTTTAATCTTTAGAGTGTGCCTTTTGGATTCCAGAAATGTTCCAGTCTGCACCTTCCCACTGCACTCTGCAACCAGTTCTCACTAGGTTTTATTTTATCTTGTATTAAATCAAAGACACAGTTTACCTGTAGACAGGCAGTGTGCAGCCTTCCCTCAAGCAGGAGTCAAGACAGGCGTGCGACTCCACYGTCTGGCTAGCCAACCCAGTCTCCTTGTGAAGTTCCACATGGCCCCGGAAACCCTGGCTCCCCCTCTGGGAAGCACAAGGCACCCTTCCCAGGGCCCGGGCCTGCCCTGGCTCTGCACGCTCAGTGAGCTGGTGCAGAGTCTCGCACTGAGGCTGGCGGTCTGCTTTCCAGACAACAGCACTGAGTGGCTTGCACTTGTCCCGTCTTGATCGTACCTGGCCCCCATAACTCCTGCCTGGCTAACACTGCTCTCCCTTTCCAGCTTTAGATTTACATCTGAACCCTTCATAGCAATAGACATGAATGTATTTATTTATTAATCTTTTTTTAAAAAAGGACCATAAAAGAACCATGCTGCTCGCTCAGGCCCTGGGCAGCCATGTGGTCTACAACTGTGGCCCTGCTTCCCAAGGAGACTAGGCTGACATGAATGGGCACAGAGACACACAAACCAGGAACCAGAGARGGACAGGAAATGAGAACTGCAGGTATGGAAGAAGAGGACCTGGCTCCGTCAGTGGGCTTCCATCTCAACCCAGGTAGGACTTCCCAAGCGCCTCTGCCTGAGGTGCCATCAACTGATTGACATGCAATTTCTTTTTTTTTTTTTTTTAATTGTTACTTTTTTAAAAAAAAAATTTATTTTTTAGTTCTCGGCAGACACAAACAACAGCTTTGTTTGTATGTGGTGCTGAGGATCGAACCCGGGCCGCACGCACGCCAGGTGAGAGCACTACCACTTGAGCCACATCCCCAGCCCGACATGTAATTTCTCTCATAACAAAACCATGCACACCTTCCTAAAACAAAAAACCACTCCTTCAATGACAAATCATATTGGGAAAAGAACAAGTTAGGAAGAGAAAAACCCAAAGTCTTTATTTTGGCCCATCTGAAATTAACCCCAGGATCAGGTTACTACTCACCCCTGATCATCAAAGGAGGCAGGTATGTTTTGAGAACAAGCCTCAGTCCACACTAACAGCCTTAAAACGGGTTTTGAAAGTCTTACTGGCCTGCAGGGCTCTGAAGGCTGAGAGCATGGGGGGAACTGCTGGGRCAGACATGCAGCCCTGGCCTGGGGGCGGCCAGCAATCAGACCTGGTCCCCGGTCTGCTTGAACAGTTTAGTTCTGATGTATAGTATAGTCATTTTCCCAGCTCTGTACTTTAGAGGGGAAAATGTCACATAGTTTTATTTGTTGTTTTACATAAAACCTCGGGCTGGGCACAGAAACTATAGGAAACCAGCTGTAGCAGCCAGGAGCACAGCTGAGACGTGCCCAGAACAGCCCCGACCTCAGTGCTGCTCTGAGAGTCGCAACTGCCATTCGGGCAGGCACAGGGCTCTTTCTGTGCTTCCAAAAATACCTTTAGCCATCACTGTGCTGTGTTGGAGCACAAGAAATCCTTCAAAGCAGATCTGTGTTGAAAACAGCACACCTTTAGGAGCCCGTCACTGAACTGCTACTGCAGGTGCCAGGAATTCATGGAAGACACAATATATCCACGTGTGGCCCAGTGAGTCGCTTCTGGGGACTCCCGTACCCTCCCAGGCCTGAGGTCTGCTGTCTGACTGCTACACTGAGGTGGTGGCTGGGAAATCCTGGCCGTGGACATGCAGTCAGAGCCCTTTCAACTGCCTCTAAATATCTCCCAGGGTCACCTATAGGTAAGAAGCTTATTGTTTTGAAGTTATAAACATTAACTACAGGAAATGAAGACTGGGAATAGGAAGGGCCTGAGGAGCTGGCTGGAAGGCTGGGCATGCTCACCCAGAGTCAGAGACACCAACACAGGCCTCGGTATTCAGGAGAAGCCAAGTGCCACGGATCCTGACTCCGCTGGCAGCACAATGGGAACTGTCAGGTGCTGATGGCATTAAGGGCTCTAGTTTTTGCCACTGGCTATTCTGGGACTCATTTAGGGATCACAAGGGTTAATGGCTCCTCGGCAGCTTACAAGGGCCATGCACTGTAAAAGGCGACAGGAAGTTAATTAGGTGAGATCAGCCGAAGCCCATGCGGGCTTCTGACTCACTTGATTTTGTGAGCAGCCAACGAGTTGACATATTCTGCCTCTGAAGGAGCCAAGATGAGCAGGCTGCTCCCGTGGCAGCCAATCCGGGCGGTTCTTCCAATCCGGTGGATGTACTCTGCAGGTGAAGACGGGGCGCTGTACTGAACAGGGCAACAGAAACAAAGGTGTTCACAGATCAAGGGACTGCCGATAATTACAAGTGCAAACCCCCACTCCTGCCGCAGGCAGCCCAAGAACTAGACCGCGGTGCTATGGTCACCCTAACAACCACAGGGAGAAGTCACTCCGKCCCGACACTCCTGGCCTCACTGAAGTAACAGGCTCCGACACACCAAGCGAGCTGTGGCCAGGTTCCAGATGAACCAGACATCACTCATCCCAGTGCCTCCTTTCTAATCTGCCCTCTCCATGGGTCTCTTCATTTTCCTCTTGCATCTTTTCCCTGAGGGGATGTGCAAGCTGCAGGTGCAGCAGGTGGGGTAGGCTTCTTGGCCCCCTCCTCAGGAGGCAGCAGCAGGGATAAGGCAGCAGAGGACGCCAGGTGGCATGGAGAGGAAGGGGGCTGGCCATGGTGCCGGCAGAGTCCACCTCTACTGCTGGCCCCAGGAGCGGGCCTCAGTCCCCTGCAGGGGGGCCAGCCAAGCTTCTGCTCCAGGGGAGCGTTCCTGACACAGGAGTAAGAGCCACGCCAACTCGGCAGCACCCTGGCACAGTGTGTYTGTCATTGACGGTAGTAACTGTCATCATTAAAGGTAAATGACCAGAGTCACTGTTTCCTTTTCTCTCTGCTGCAACATGAACCACAGATCAGAGGGCCAATGTGAGCCCACTGTACAGGAGGCCAGGGATGTTAAACTAATCAATATTAACAGTACACTACCCTCCATGATCAATTTTGTGTCTGACCTCCGGCACATTAAAATTATCCTCTCCTCTCATTTTTCATTCACTCTGGCCAGCAAGAAAGAAGACACATCACCTCTAGTCCCCAAGTGATCACCTGTTACGAGCAGATCAGGTTCCCCAGCCAGACACAGGCATGCAGTTCCACTAAAATGTGAACAAACCCTGATTCTCGTAAACAGGCCAGTGTCCTCTGGCCACATACAGAAGGGCTTGTAGACACCATTCTGCAAACTAACCAAGAACAACAGGAAGCAAACCCACCGGACTCCAGTGCTGACATCTGCACCCACTGGCAAAGCATCTCTGGCTAGGGGTGTGTATAAGATGGTGTCAGGGACTTAATTGTTCCCTGCAGGCCAATGCACATGGACATGGTTCTCAGGACAGCTGAGCCATCTCCTTCTGGACACAATGAGGCCTCCCAAGGGCACAGATAATTCCTGTGATTTTCAGATTGTTGAAACTTTGGTGTGTGACACCAGTCCAGAAGCAAGGCTGCCACCTCCTTCTTGGCTGTTCTGCTACAGCAGGGAGGTGGGATGGGTTAAGGAAAGATACCAGAAGACTTGTGCAGACAGGGCTGACTGCTGCCTGGTTACCAGGGCAACACCCAAGAGGGTGATATAATTATTCTACTTAAGGCCAATGCATCTGTTCATAATCATACATTCCAGCCTCAAGTTCACACCTGAACTACTAAAAAATTACCTGAACAATCCATGTGACTTGTGGGAGATCTAAGCCACGAGCTGCAACATCCTTTAAGAGAAAAAAAAAGCATGTTTAGAAGGAGTCTATTGACTTTCTGGGGGTCATGGATACACCCTGAACGTTCATTCACCCCACAACCTGCCCACACACAACTCAAGACACACCTTCAGTAGGTCAGGGACCCACTCACATCCCTCTGTGGCTAAAAAAATCTTTGTGGCAAGTTCAACAGAACCCTTTAATAACTCAGGTTGCGAAAGGACTGCACCTTCCATCTGAATAGCTGCCCATGAAGCAAGTGTCCATGGACTGCTGCCCCACCCACCCTCCCAGCAACGCCAGTGGCCAGCAGTAAGGCTGCTGGAATGCCCCTCCTCAAGGGACTCACAGGGGTGGGGGAGGTGTTGCAAGCTGCCAAGTGTTCCTCAGGACTGTCTGTCAAGCTCAAGGGCAGTAAGGGTGGAGCATGCCGCTGTCCTTTCTGAGCGCTAAGTCAGAAGGCAGGCCATGCCTGCTGATCACTTCAAAGGCTAAACCAGACAGCCAAGACCAAAAACAACTGAGATTTTCTTTTTTCTTTTTAACTGGTCACTGCCCCGAGAGCAAAAACTCTCTGTTCCCTCTAAGTCTCTTGCTGGTAAGGGTCTGGAAAACGGACGCTCCCAGTCTATCAATAATCTTCACTCAGCATCCCCTCTGGTCTAACAGGAACATTTTCACTTGACATTTACTGAGCACTTACTACACACCAGGCACTGGGTTGAGCACCGGTTTACCTGCATTATTTCGATGAACCCTCAAAACAGCTCTTTAAAACAACTACATCCCCATTTGGCAGATGAGGCAACCAAAGTTAGAGAGGTGAAGTAACATGTCCAGGCTAAGAAGAGGGGGGACTTCTCCAAGGCCATGTTAGATTAGGCTATATTCCACCATTAAAAAAGACACCGTGTCCCCCTTGCCCACAGACGGTGGGAATGCAAAATGGTACCAAGCCCTGCGGTGGGGAATTTGGTAATTCAAAATCCCATGCACACTGCCCTGGCACTTGCCCTGCAGTCCAGAACCATCTCAATTCTAGAAGGGTACAACGGCAAGAACACAAAATGACACATACACAAGGCTCTTCCTCCCGCAGTGTGAGGAGATGGGCCKCGTGAGACGGCTGCGCTCCATGTAGTGGACTAGAAAGAGCGGCTTCAGGACACTGGTTTGGACACGCTCCAGGACGTGCTGAGTGGGCCGGGTGTGCTCCCACATTAGAAACTGGGGGACACCCACACACCTGCTTATATTCCAGGAAAACCCCCAAAGCTTACGGAAACAGCCATAGGACAGGAAGAGGACAGGGGAGGAGGCACAGGTGGAAGCCAAACTGGCTCCTTCAGTGAACTTGGACTTGAGAACGTGCGGGCTAATTAAGAAGCAAGTGGAGCCGCTAGGAGCAGCTGGAGAAGCAGCTCTCGGGCAGCAGTGAGCAGTTGCCTGTACTGTTTCTCTTCAAAGGGACCAATGGCAGAACTGACACCCAGACCTCAGAGTCCAGGTCCAACTCCAGCAACAAACAGGGAGGACGACACTGAACCACCCCCGGGGGCACTCTTGGCCAAATTCAACCGCGGAGGACTCCAAGAACCTGCCACCTGATGCCTTCAACCAGCATTGGGGGAAGAAAGGAGCAAGAAAAACCAAACCACTAGAGACAGACGGACAGATGGCTCAAGCAGGCATGGGTGGTGTTGGCGGGCACAGCGGCCAGCTGGGGTCATCTCTGGACTGGGGGATCCAAGGTGACAAGGTGATTTCACCTTTCTCTTTGCATTTCCCTTGGTTTGGCTATCATTTCTCCCAAAATTCTGATTCAGAAAATCAGAGCCCAGGTGAGCTGAAGACTGCCCCAGAGGGCATCGGTGGCATGGTCAGAGCCAGCAGCTGCTGCTGGTCAGCGCCTCCTCCCCCACACACTGCCACCACCTTTCAGCCCTGGAGACTCACTGGGTATCTCCTAAGTGAAAGGACACGCCACATAACCACTACACCAGCACGCTTTAGGAAATCCAACACTGAACAAAACCACCTCCTYGTGAACAGCCCATTCAGGAGCATGTAGCAGATCACACGGCTGGGTGTGGCGGCACGCGCCTGGAACCCAGCAACTGGGGAGGCCAAGGGAGGAGGACTGCAAGTTCAAGGCCAGCCTGGGCAACTTAGTGAGACACTGTCTCAAAATAAAAGTGGTTAAGCACCCTTGGTTCAGTCCCAGGACCTCACACAAATACACACAGCCCGGACCCCTGCGGCGTCCCCCAGATTTCACCACAGCACCCCTGCCTTGCACTGACTCCTTTAGACATTCGTCAGTTTGGCTTCTCAAGAGTGTGGCTGTCTCGAGGAACACCACACGCTGGCAGGACACGACTTGAGGGTGGTGTGTGTCCCAGGACCCCTTACGGGAGGCGTCAGGGTGGTCTGACCTGGGCAGACAAGGACCTGCAGTGAGCAGTGCCCTGGCTCTGACACTGCGAGGGGACTTTTCCTCTTGGCAATGACTAGGGATGGGAGGTGGAACATGGAGACCTGGGAACACGGCTTCGTAAGATACCTCCGCTGAGGGCTCCGGCTTCCACTGACGCTCTTGTCTGCACCAATAGTGGCCCTGATGGCACAAAGGATGGCTTTCTATCACCCCTCCCCTCCACTGCACAGCTGGGAAACCCTTCAGTAAGGAACAGGTTCTCCACCACTTTTAAGTATCACCAGGATTCAGATGATATACATGGCTTTTTTGAAAAGTAATCCCATGCCAAGATCCTGTAAGACCAGGCTTGCTGTGCGCCCAGAGTGAGGGGGGACTCAATGAGGTGCTGTCCTGTACCACTCACCTGGAGGTACCTCAGAGACCACCTTCTCTACTCGCTCTGAGAACTCCTAGTTCCCTTGGAGTGTGCTAGGCTGCGCCTGTAAGTGTGCAAGTAGAGGCTGGCACACAGGTGTGTCAACCACCCGCAGTGTTTTCAGATGGCACAAGTGCCCCGAGAGAGGATGTTCTGAGTGTTCCCATCTGAGAGGAGAGGACCAGCTTGGCTACACCAACAGTCAACGGCTTCAGGAAAGCTGACGGACTCTCCCACCTGCAAAGCTCTTGTTAGGAAACGACTTCTCTTATTAAGTGCTCTGCAGGTAAGGGGCTCCTGAGCTCTACCGATAGGCCTTGTAAAACATTTAACGCTCGATGGTTCAGTACTTCCATCAGGAAACTTGGATAAAACAAAGCCAGCCATGACTCGCGGGAAGTTCCCTGCGCCTACACACTGACAGGCGAGTGGCGGGGGGTGCGGCAGCCTGCTTGAAGGTGGGGTCCAGCCCTGCACCGCTGGCTGACACTGCCTTCCTGGGTCCTGCTGCCTGGCATGGGGGGTGCTGCCCACTGCTGGACTCTTGCCCATATCTGAGCCAACACTGCCGTGAGTGCTTCTTTCGAACATGCCCAGCCGTGGCTACCAGAGAGTGAGAAGGAGCTGAGGAGGAAGGTCATGTGGTCCAGAACAGGGAGGATGGCCACCGGCTTAGCAGAGTCAAGTCAGTTGAGCCTCAAGTGGCCACCCACACAAAGGCTAGAGCACAGCCCTCTCTGTCTCATGAGGCTGCCGTGGAGAGCGCATCAGACAGTTTATGTGAAAAAAGGACCTCAACCCTGTGCACGTGTGTCCTGCCTCCTGTCAGGAAGGAAGACGGTGGGGATTAGGCGGTGGCAACCCAAGCCCCTTTGCACTCTTCTGCCCCATCAGAACCCACCCAGCGTCCTGGGCAGGGACCTCGGAAAGCAGGAGATGCTCCATCTTCCCAGATGCTCCAGCCAGCAGCCCCACATCAACAGGAACCAAAGATTGCTGGAGACTCCCAAGGCCGCGGTTTGCGGCCTGCTCTCAGAATGCGAGTCCAGCCGCCGCCCGTTCCATCCCTCTAACCTAATTAGGGCAAAAGAATCGCTAAAGTCAGTTCTGAAAGACACTCACCAGCAAGGCCTTGAGGGCCCGGGCTTGACAACTGGCTGCCTCCATGAGACCCAGGAGTACAGATGGAAGGCAGCCTGCTCAGGTGCCAGGCTGTCAGTTGGATTAAAATGACTCATTTATTTACCCAAGAACCTCGCAAAGCACTTTTACTAACAGGGAGAGGGGGCCTGCTGCCTCTCTGAGAAGGGACGCAGCAAACGCGCCTCCGACGCCTTCCCGGCCTGCCAAAAGTCATTACTGCCGTGTGTGGAAAGCCATCAGCAGGGTACAGGCCCCCGCTGTCCGGGTGACAGATTGGGCTGCGTAATCAGAGGAGGAAGGGGAGAGTGCAGAGCTGTCAGAGGCGAGAGAGCTTGGCTGGAGCCGCCAAAAAACTGGCAACATGAGTTAGCGTGACTGAGTAAACAGCGACCCATCTCCAGATGATCCTCCGTGAACACCAGTGAAACAGAACGCAAGACACACTGTACCCAACAAGCACGCCCCGAGAAGAGCAAGAASTCTACAGTGCGAGGGGTGCTGCACTGACACTCCCGCGACTCCTACACCTCAGCTCCTTTGTCTCCTAGCCGCCTGGCACAGCGGAACTTCCCCAGGAGGACAGGAAATTAGGAGCGGCACAGGCACAACAGCGTTCCAAGCGGAAAAATGCCCAGGAGGCGGAGGGAGGTGAAGGAAAGCAGCACACGTGCTGGACAACCTAGAGCTGCCCTGGAATCCAGGCCTGTCCCTCCTGGGGAGGAGGTCTCTGTGCTCCACTTCCCAGGGCCACCATGGACAGCCAATGCACCAAGAGAAGGCCTGGTCTGAACCAGACCCCCTTTCCTGCACTCTTCCCTCTGCCAAAGCCCCAGCGCAGCGGTCCACAGACCAGGCTCCTTCCCTGGCCATGGGCTGGTGCCTCACTATACAGCAGCCGTTATTTTGAAGATAGTTCAATGTTTTACATTTGATTTCTTTGCTCCCAGTTCCACTTGGGAAAGCAGGACTGGAACTTTCCAATGACTCCTTCCTACTTATCCCTAACTCCCTTCTTAATCTGGCTTCTCACATTGCCAACGTGTGAAGGCTTCCTCTCTTGGCAAGTGGTCTCCTTCCCTGACCACACTTCAGTTCTGCCTCAGCTCCATCTGGACACAGTCCAGCACTTCCCAACAGTCAGGCTACGAAGGCCTGGACCTGGTCCCAGGAGGGCTGCCTGGGGCCCGAGGCCCTTGCTTTAGGATGATCATCATGGACACCAACAACTCACCGCCCTTAAWTGCTCCTAGGAGTAAGGGAAAGAGGGCGAAGGAAGGAGCGTGTGTGGTTCCATCTCCACTTCCACATTGGCAGACACTGTCTTCTCTGGCCTTGTTAAAAGGTATTGGGATGATATATTAAAATGGCCAAAGGTACAGTATGAAGGAGAGAAAAATCCCGATGCAACAATTAACAACATGAGTCCCCTTTATCAGACAAAGCCAGTTCTCCATCTGCCTCATCCTGACGCAGCCTCGTTCCTCATTAGCACCGAGGAGGTTCCTGGGGAGCCTTCAGATAGCCTGGCAAGCAACAGGCTGCCTAAAGGATGCAGAGTGACAGTGCCGCCCCACCCCAAGACGATCTAGCACGGCGTGTGTGTCTCACGTACCCTGTGGTTCTCCAACACAGAAGTGTCAAAGGAAAGCCAACAGACACAGCAGGAGTGGCAGGAACACGGAGTGAATAAGAGCACACTAGCACCAGCACCAGCACCAGCACCTGGGCTCACCCGGCTCGGCACTCTCCAGTCACCTCTGTAGGGCCAGGGGCAGCGCAGGCTGTGGCRGAAGGTGTGGCACTGGAAGTGACCGGGAAGCTGGGGACCTCAACCACAGACTTTAGGAAATCAGGCTGTGGGCAGGCAGCTGGCTGTGCACTCGTCCAGCCTGGCAGGGGGCTAGGGCCTGTGCTCTTTGTCTGGCTGATATCACTTGACTGCAGGTAGCAGCCAAGAAGACCAGGAAAAGCGATCATATGCTTTGACCTAGTGAGAAATGACATTTCAGAAASAATGGTCTGCTTTCCACCTAGGTCTACTAAAAAAACAGCTTTGAGACCTGTGCTCACCCATTTCCCTAAAGCATGACACTTACATGTACTGGGAGCCTCAACAATGTCCCCAGGACAATCCAGGAACTTAATGGACCAGGAGACAATGCTCTGTACACAGCCCCACCTATATCCCTCCAGCAAGGTTCCTACCGCTCCCAGAGAAACTACCTGTACCACTCAGCCTCACACACCACCAAGTGGACAGCAGGAGCGTGCTGTGGCTAAGTGTGCCTGTTTAGACAGCGGCATGCACTGGTGGTCCTTGACACGAGCTCCTGGCCCCACYCATCCACCAGCCAACCATAGGCAGTGCCTGCTCTGTGGGCGACTCCGGGATGAAGGAGAATGCACTGCATGTCTTCATGGAGCCCGTGACCTGGCAACGCCCAGCCACATGTGGAAGAGAAGTGAGCAGGCATGGGAGGCCCTGGGACAGCCAGGGCACCTGGGGCTCCTCCTGAGGTGGCGAAACACAGGCTCTGACCCATATCAGGCTCAGGCCAGTCAGTCTGGGTACTGGAGGCAAAAGGAAAAGTACCTAATACTTCTCAAGGCACATTCAAGGAATTTAAAGAGGGGCAGGTTGGGCTGGGGGGTAGAGAGAATGGGGCGAGGCAGGTGAGGTAACTCGGGGCCAGGCCCTGGGACAATACCACTGCTGCGGGGCTGGGGATGTGGCTCAAGCGGTAGCGYGCTCGCCTGGCGTGCGTGCGGCCCGGGTTCGATCCTCAGCACCACATACCAACAAAGATGTTGTGTCCGCCGAAAACTAAAAAATAAATATTAAAAAAAAAAAAAWWYTCTYTWWAAAAAAAAAAATACCACTGCTGCATGACATGGATTCCCAGTGTCCTTATCAACAGACCATTTGGACTGGATCTTTAGATATTTCAAGATGGTCTAGTCCTTTGTTTGTTGATTATGGTACTGGGATGGAACCCGGGACCTTGAACAAGCAGGTGCTCTGGCACCGAACCACACCCCAGCCTAACGCTGGTTTAGGAACAAATGCCGGTATCTGCCTGGGGAGCTGGCTGAAGGACARACACAGCTGGCCTCCCAGGAGGCACACATTCTAGAAGCTTCTCAGCTCTGAGTGCCGCACACAGGCAAGCCTCTGCCATGCCTGTGTGAGAACAGCACTGCGCCAAGCAGTCTCCAGGAAGAGCTTCTGTTAAACAAGCACAACAAACTCACACAGACAAAGCTGCACTCGCCCAAGCTTAAAAAGAACACAGTCTCTCCTACCCTCAAACTGAACACGCAGCAAGAGCTCCTCAAAAAGCAAGTGCTTTGCTGAGCAAGGGGAGCGGCTCCAGGCTGCTCTCCTCCAGGCCGCGCTCGCAGCACACCCCGCASGCACGCTGCACTTCCTCAACGCACACGCGGGACTACTGCGCAACTACACAGGGTCATGTTATGCCATCCAATGTGGCATGAGCAGAGAAGGCACCTCCTCTTGGGAGAGAGTGACATCATGGTCAAGCGAGTCCCCAGAGAGAAGGGATCATTTAAGGTGTGGTTCTCAATCTTGAGAGCACAAGAGATTAAAAAAGCCCATGCTGTGTGGAGGGCCCACTGAGGCCCAGTCACCTGGTCCTGAAGATCACAGGCAAATGCCAATTCTGGACAACTGCAAACGGAGCTGTCCAAGAGCATCTATCTCCTTTAAAAAGGTGAGCAGAGGTGAGCAGTCACTTCTGCTGCGGAAAGACTTTCTCAGCTCTAATGACTCCCGATAGCTGTAATTTACAAGTTTTTGGTGGATAGAAATCACCACAATTCACACATTTTCAGACTAACAGCTGCCACTATTAGTGAGCAAGTCGCCAAATCTCCTGCACAGCGGCAACTAGAGGTGTAGGAGAGCAGCCACGTCACTGCCCCCGAGGAGCTGGCCACGTCCCCAGCCCAGACGAGCCCCACGCRAGCGCAGAGCTACGTACCGTGCAGAGGAGGATGCCCGTTCTGGAACGTGAGAATTCCTGGAACACCGATGTTCTCTCCTGCAAAACAAAGAACAAAGGGCTTCATGACACCAAGCTAATGCCACCAAGGAAAGCTACGACTTCTGTGAATTCCTGCCTTCCTACTGCTCTACTTTTAGACACAGAGAGGTTTAGCAGGAAAAAGGAAGACATCGAGCTGAAATCCAAGACCTGGTATCAGAGCGGGCTTTAGTGACAGCACACCTCAGGAAACCCACAACTGGGGCACGTCCTTCATCCATGCTGATGACAACCCTGTGAAGGCCGAGCCTCACTCCCTCTCCAGACGGACAATGGAGGCAGCGAGAGGTTGTGAAACCTGCCTGAGGGGCACACACGGAAAGGCCACGCCATCGTGAACCAGGCTGTGTTGGGAGGTTGGCACTCAGACCTTCACATGGACAGGTCACTGTCCAGCCAACTGTGTGGCAGTCTCTATAAGCATGATTTTTTTTTTTAATAATAAACCTTAGTTATTGTGTTTAAATGTACTTTATTTATTTTTTTTAAAGAGAGAATGAGAGAGGGGAGAGAGAGAGAGAGAATTTTTTAATATTTATTTTTTAGTTCTCGGCGGACACAACATCTTTGTTTGTATGTGGTGCTGAGGATCGAACCCRGGCCGCACGCATGCCAGACGGGCGCGCTACCGCTTGAGCCACATCCCCAGCCCTATAAGCATGATTTTTACTGATTACGTCGTAGCCTCAAATTCAGCAAATTTCCTGAAAGCCAGARAAAACGTCTTGAAGACAGGACAGACGTACTTAGGCTGGGGAAGGGACGAACCCCGGGCCTGGTGCTGGCAGCAGCCCCACACAGCCTCTCCTCCCAGCAGGTGCTCCCCGCTGGCGCTCACAGACTCGTCTGGGACGTCAAGCACCCAGGGAGACTGCTCAGGGGCAGGGGCCAGGAAGAGGGAACTGGGACTATTTAAAATGGGAGGCAGGCTCCCCACCTCCTGCCCTCCACCTAGCCATGGGAGGCTATGAAGGCCAAATCCATAATAACATAACATCAGTAAAAGGTTGACAGTCATTAAGCTGCATAAAAAGCCAAACTAGTCCTGAAAAAGAACAATGCAAGGGCGGCCCTGTGAGCCCAAGCGCGCCAAGAGGGACTTGTGCAGTGCTCCTGCKTCCCCAGCTCACAGACAGCGCCGTAGGCAGAGGTCCCACAGGTGGCCAAAGATGGAACAGGACCAGAACACAGCACTCTGCCTCCGGGGGGGGGGGGGCCCAGGGCGCGCGCGCCATGCTGGTGCTGCCCCATTATGGAAGCCTGCACTATCAATACCCAGAGGTCTCCAGGCGCAGCCGCAGCCCCTCGGCCCCGCCCTGCAGAACCTCTCTGTGAAAACAGACCCAGAAGACTAACGGAACTCGACTCAGCGGAAGATAAAAATCAACGGCTAATAAAACTCACAAAGGCTGGAAATTGAGGGACCTCTAAGTAATCTGRTGGCAAATAAGCTGAGTCCACCAGTGACCTTGAATAAGGCCACTGTTTTGAGCCTCCATTTCCTGAGCTATGAAAACAAAGAGGACAAAGAGGGAATGGCCTTGTTTAAGACCTCATCAGGCCGTTCACGCCTCAGAGTTCTATGAGCTGYTCTGGTTTGGGGGTGGTGGCGAGGGGTGTCAGTGAGCCCAGTGCTTCCCATGGGGGCCCCACCACTGAGMCCCGACACTGTGGTGTGTTGTGGTTTCCCTCCTCCCTTTCTTACCTCCTATGCTCCAGGTAACCTTGCTTCCACCTCGAGGACAAGATGGCCCCCCTTCCAGGCCCGCYTGTCCTCCCCTCCCCAGCTCCGGCAAGCACGCCTCTCCCCTACTCTGCCCTGACCTCCTGACATGTAGGACTAAGCATCTGAGACCAGGAAGACGGGCACTCTTCCTCACGAGCATGAGTCCTACTCTCCGAGAAGAACGGCTGGAGYCCTGTGGTGTGCTGGACCCTCCCATCCCAGCGTCCAGCGTGCGGCGCTGCGTCTTGTTGACAATGGCAGCAGCCGTGCTCAGCAGTGCCATATGGGATCCACAGTTTAGCTCCATTAATGCTCTTAATTTGAAGACATCAAGCCCTAATTACACACTGGGTACTAAAAAGGCAAAACCCTTCCCTGGTGCCAGCTACTTAGTGGCACTCTGTTGCTGTAACAGCTGGCTGGGGTAGACGCAGGCCAAGCTGAGCCGGGAAGCTCTCAGGTGGAAGGAGTGGGCKTCCGGAGCAAGAGCAAGCAGAACCACGGGACCCTCGCCCATGCCCACCTGGTGGGCCCCTATTTTCTGCAGTCTGCTGTGGGCCGGGCGCTCACCTCCTGCGCCATGTTGCCGTGCAGCCGTAGGAATGCCAGTTGCGGTGAGGCAGAGGGCAGCTGCCCAGGGGCTGGGGCCCGCAGGCGGTTCAGCAGGGTCTGCAGGAAGAGGTGGTAGTGGAACTCCACCAGCTCACAGCTCGAGAAGAAGACGATCACCTTCTGGTCCTGCTCCAGCTGTGTCAGAACCATGGGGAGAAGCGCAGTTTTTAAGGTGTTTGGGATCAAATAAGCTCTTCTAAAGTACAGGATCATGCCGGCCCCGATTTGGTRACAGAGCTTTCAATTACTCAAGAGAAAAAATTGATACTCCACTCTAAGAAGAACACAGGGAAGGAAAATGACACAGCTCTCACCTCAAACAGAAAAGAAATGCACTTTAATGGTGCAGCTGACCCCCATCTCCAGCCTTTCTTTGCTCAGTGCTCATCACATGCAATACTACCCACTGCGGTCCTCTATGCGTAAATAAATTTGAAGCCTCATCCCAAGTCCTGCAATCTCCCGTTTTCACAGCGCAGGGCGAGCCAGCACTGAAGCTGATAGGTACACGGCACCAGCACCRAGGCCCAGGAGCAGCAGCTCCTGGGCTTCTTTGACGTGGCCATGGCCTTCCCACATTCAATCCGGGAAGGTACTCAGACTTCAACCTGAACACCATGACTACCACTACCTCCAGCTCCTTACCACCACCCTGGAACCTCTGATTGAAAGGAGATGTATCAAGGTCTGCTTTCTGCGTGCGTGCATGCACGTGTGTCTCCTCAACCCACTGCTCTCAACGCCTGGCGCAAACCAAACAGTGTCCCTTCCCCACGGGGCCAAGTCTGGCCAGTCGTACCTTGCCCTTTTGGAGGAGGAAGGCTGCGAGGCACACAAGTCGCAGTTTGCTGGGCACCAGTGCCACATGCTGGTCGAGACTCTCTGGTATGGCAAAGCCACCCAGCTGGTCAGCAGCTTGGGGAGGAGTGACTTCCTGGGTCACTTGGTCCTTTGGGTTAGAATGGTCATGACTTTTGTCCAGAACAGAAATACTGACTGGATTGTGCAAACTGATATCAGCTAGCCGTGCTACACCTTGGACAAAAAGTAAGGAGGACAACAGAAATGGTTCATACATTCATGCCCCCAAACACCCACCAAATCCCAGCAACTCAGGAGGCTAAGGCAGGAGGATCACAAGTTCAAGACCAGCCTCAGCAAGGCCCTAAGTAACTAAGCATTATCCTATCTCAAAAATAAATAAATGTGGCTCAGTGATAGAGCACCCCTGTTTTCAATCTCCAAAACCATAAAAATAAGTAGATTGACGTCCCAGCACTCATCTGTCCTAATGCCACTTTGGTGGGGCAGTCCACAGCCCAATGCCCACACCTGTCTGTATGTTCTGAACTGTCCCCAAGAGGAGATCATCCAGAAGGTACCAAAGGATGTCTGCATCCACTCCACTRCCACCCAAAACAGTGCCACAGACTTCCTGGCCATAGGCCTTCTCAGGACTCGAGTGTGTTTGCACCATGAGTCTCCCAGGAGGGGAGCTGGTGGTCATTTCCTAAACTTATTTACTGGACCACAGGATGCTTTTTTTGTGGAGTGACATTCCTCGGCACACCCTTGGAGCAGTGCTGAGGGGTCACAGGATTGGCGCCTGGCTCMGCAAACTGTGACCAAGGAAGCAGGGCTGTGGCCTCCCTATGCAGGTGAGCCTGCTGGAGTGGTCCCATGTTTCCAAGCCTTAGCTCTCCCATCTGCAGAAGAGCTAAGAATTTCCACCCCATGAGGGTGGGAGAAAGAAGTAGGAGGATTACATTAAAGGCACACCTGGAAGACTTGGGTGCCACTAGGGCAGAGCACCTGCCCAGCATGCACACCACCATTTTTTAGAACAGAGGCCCTGCTCCCTCTGGTTGCAACTTCAGTGAAACCCTGGGAGACCATAGGCCAGCGGTGGGCAGCCTTCTCTCCTCCTTCCCACCTGTAATGACCCTGGAGCTGGATGGGACCTGCCCTTACTCCCCTGCCCTAGGCCCTGGATAGCTGGAAGTGGTGGGGAATACAGAATGGTCTGGAAGTAGTACTCTCGGGACATTCCTCCCCTCTCTCTGAGCTTGGGCATCAGTGCCAGCAAACAACCAGTCCTCCCTGGGCCCCCCAAGACCTCAGCTCTTTTTCAATGCACCTTCTGAGAGCGTGGCGGACAGTAAGACGTTCTGTCGCTTCTGGCACTGGGCATTTACAGCATTGAGTATCACTGTGACATCCTTTTCAAAACCCAAGTCCAGGATTCTGTGATCATAAGAGAGGAATTTAATCTACATGAGAGTGCATGTGACACCAGGCCAGCGGCTGCCTGGAGGAGAGCAGAAACAGCTTCCCCTCCATGCTTCCCAGAGGAGACTCACCTATCTGCCTCATCCAAAACCAGCCACTGYATCCGTCTGAAATGAATGTTCTTTGTGGATTTTATGTGATCCACCAGACGCCCAGGGGTTGAGATAAGGATGTTTATTCCTTTGCGGAGCCTGTTTAAAATTATATATCATAAGAGAAAGTAAATCAAACAGAAAACACAGGAAAGACAAAGGAGGTAGACTGACTTCATGTATAGCACCAATGTGCCACAGCYGAAGTCACGGCCAAACACAGTGACAAGCAGACAGGAAGACAGAACGTGCCTATTAAGATCTAAAATCACATTCTRGTCATTAAACCTTTACTTTGAAGAGTCGTCAACAGGATCCAGTGCTGGGTATCTGACTCGTCGATGTCTGCTAACACACTCTGTGGATGGCATCCAGCCGGCTCTGGAAGGCGTCAGTGACCAGGAACCCCCCAGCTGGGAAAGCTGCACTTCCTGTGCAAGTGAGCTCTAATTGCTAGAATGTTCTTTCTTATACTGAACCCTTAATTTCCATTAGAGGGGCTTAAGCTTTGCCCCATAGACCATGTAGAATAAATCTCATTTCTCACTCCCCAAACAACCATTATATCCCATTATTCCATAAACAATACAATTTTTAGCTCGATATGTTTTTAAGCTTTCCTTTCAATAAAGTATGGTATTATGCCATGTCCTAGCAATAGGATAAAAAGGCAGAGTGTGCAAGTCAAAAAGTACCTGTGGAGAGAGGAGTAATGATCTCCTGTTACTGATGACAAGGACTAGATATGATGGCTGGAGCTCCAGCTCCTGTCCTAGACTAAGAGGTTACCTTGGAAACGAAGGGCATACAAAACAAGGAAGGAGCCTGGGTTCTGACACTGGCGCACCAGGCCAGCCCTGGCTTAGTCCACCAGACTTGCTGCATGTGAAAGAGAAAACTCCTATATTGTCTGTGCTATCACTGTTTTTACTAACTATTTTCAGCTGCATCTAATCCTAATCAATATACTTTTTTAGGTGTTAAGTTTCACATTTACTCTTCAGTTAGAGACTCCATACAGAGTTCAGTGTAACTACTAAAAGTRTTCAAAATACAGGTGCAATTTTGGATTTACCTGTTAACAATTTTCTACAGAAACCCACTACAAGTTCTAATACAGGATTAGGAATCAACGTGTGCAGGTGTAAAAGCATATTGCTAAGCACTGTGTAAACTTAAGATCTTGATTTTGTAAATCCAAACTAGGGAACCCTCCTCACCCCACCCCTGCCCCCCCTCCCCCRGGCTGGGTCTATCCTAGCACTGGGAAGAGGAAGCACAGCTGGAAGCCAGGTTCAGCAGGACCATGTCCTGCTACAGAAACAGGACAAACAGATGAACAACTAGCAAGCGCCCCTACCTGGCCTTTTCTGATTTTCTCTTCTCTCCACCCATCAATACTCCAGGTACAATCCAGGTGAATGGCTACAGATAACAGAACAGAATCAAAGCCCCATTTCCTGAAAACAGAGACTAAGTTGTAGTCCCTAAGGAGGTCAGGGTTGGGGACACTGGCTCCTTGCTGTGTGGGGTGTCATGTGCACACAGGTCCTGGGATCATAGCTACGTAACTAGTTGCTGACGCCGGAGGACACTAATGTGAGCTTTCTAAATGATTCAAGCCCCCACCTCTCCCCATGGAGCCTGAAGAGAATACAAATTTGAATAAGTCAATTTTTTCTGGCAGGGCTGGGGGTACTAATATAAAACCCAAGTGATACCCTTCCCTACTTCCCACCTCTGATAAAGGACAGATCAATTCATGATGGACTCTGGTGGGTCAGAGGCTCTGCCTCTGAAACCTCCTCCCTCTGCCTTCTTAAACAGACCCCACAGTGGCCTTGTATTGCTCTCCACTGGGTGGCCTGAGGGTTGCACCTGGGAGTCCCTGCACATGGCTTGCTGGTGGCTACCATGAACAGGCTGTGGGACTGTAAGCTCCAGGAAACACTGGTAACTTAGCTAAGCTAGAAATCAATWGTTACAAAGGTTTCAATCGTAAAAACCTACAAAGTATATCTAGAGAAGCTGAGATATCCAGGGAGGAGAGAAACAAGAATAATTTCTGACCTCTTTGAAAATGAAGACTGAGGTATATTAATCTTTCCTCAACATGGCAGAAAAGAAGATAAGGCTGAACTCAAGGCTTGTCTTACCTTAAGCAGCTTCTGGACAGTGTCAAAGCTTTGCAGGGCCAGCTGCAAATATTCAAAGTTATAGATCATGAGCACAGCATCCAGTTTTTTTTTTTTTTTAAGATAATCTAAAATGATTAGGATCTGAGGGTGGACCTCAAGTTAAGACTCAGGGAAAAAAAGTTCTTTACACAGAACCTACTCTGAAAACAGACCTGTCCCAGGCTGGCCTGGCGGCCTGCTGGTTTGGGGGTGAGGTAGAGAGTGCAGGGACTTCTCGGCCACATGCAAACCTAGTTTTGTGCTCCCTCTGCTGGCCCGAGCTCCCAGAGCCACTGATGGAGCAGAAGGCAACACAGTCAGCCGGAGTCCAGCTCTCCTCAGAGAAAGGTGGTGTGTGGGAAGGGTCGACCAGGGCGGGGCTGCCACAGCCCCACGTTAGGGACTTCACCTGAGGTGACTGCTGTGTCCTAGAACTGGGCCAGGGAATCTGAAGACCCTGCGGGTAACCACCCCCAAATTCTCACACRAAACCAAACCAGCAGGCTCAGTAAGAAAATGGGTGTAGACAGGCTCAGAATCCCGMTATCCAAGGAGACACACACATGCCTCCACTTCAGGATTCCTGAAGCAGCCAGCTCCATGTTGTAAATTTCAGTAGTCCCTGTGCCCGCTCCGTCCCCAGGCCAAGCCGATGAGCAGAGCACGAGGCTGCAGCTGTGAGAAAGGCCAAAGGAAACTCCCTCCACCGCCAGGTCTCCGCAGGCAGCGGGGTCATTTGGTAGGAACCGGACACCTTAATCTGAAATTGCCTCTGTAAGCAGACACACCCACTACGTCACTATGTTCCACCAAAGAAGAAACTRCAGCCTGACACCCAGGTGTAAGTGAAGTTCTAGGAGCAACAGCTTCTTAAAAAAAARGTTCATTCCAGAGTTGTTTTTGTTTTTTAATTAGTTGTTTATAAAAATGTTTCTTTTAATTCCTTTAAAAGAACAGAGATTTAATAATGCTGTTAGTTTTTAGACAATAGGAAATGCCTTCTCATGCCTATCTTCTGATTTTCTACAAGTACTTCAACTTTTCTTCTTGATAGAAACCAGAAGGATGGTCCCTGTGTAGGGGGTCAAGCATGCAGTGGTCAGCACAGTAGGAGAAAACCATAAAACTCACCTCCCTCGTGGGCACCAGAACCAGAGCATAGGGGCCGTCACTGCGCTGTGGACAGGAAAGAGAGACCATGAGTAGGACCAACAAAGGCCAGCCTCCAGATGGCCTGCTGAGAGACACCAGAAGTACACTCACGGGAGAAAGGGACATGCATGTCCCCCAACCCCACTACCACAGGACACCATGCTAGCAGGCCATGCTCCTGGCCCATGCAATTGGATAAAACAAAGGAATAGATGTGAAGCACCGGAAGACGGAGGCAAAGCCACCTTTATTAGCAGATGATGCKATCTCATCTTAGGAAAAAAAGACCTTCAAGTCAACTGAAAAATAACTGCAAACAAGGTATTTCAAGTCCAGCAGCTGAATGCAAAATTAGAGAATAAAAATCAATAGCTGTCTATTTCAGAGTTCTAGAAAACACAATAAAGGGAAATTTCACACTTACCATGGCAACAAAAAAAGATGGAAAGAAAAAGCCTAAAAGTGTACAAGATCTACATGAAGAAAATTAAAAACACCACCGAGGGGCATAAAATAAAATCTGAATAAAGGTAAAGTTGTACCCCATTTTTGGATAGGAAGACTCAATATTATAACTAAATTAATTCTCTTTACACCAATCCATAAATGTGAAGTAATACTAACGAGACACCTTAAAAATGTGTGTGTGTGTGTGTGTGTGTGCGCGCGCGCGCGCAAATATATAATAAAATACATAGTAAGACAAGCTGATGTCAAGGTAAATATGGAAAAGTACACGTGTACAAATAACTGATGTCTGTGAAGACATATCACATGTAAATTATAAGCCAAAGCAATTTAAAATGATAATGATATACAGAGATTGCAATAGCAAATAATCTAGAATAGAATCAAATACATACGGAAATTTAGAAAAATATACAAGTCATTTTATACCAATAAAGAAAAAATGGATTATTYAAAAGTCCTTTGGAAAAAAAATAATCAAGTTAGAAAAACAAAACTGGCATTAAAGTTGGACTTTTACAGATGACACCAAATTCAGAAATCATAAAGAAAATTCTGGTAAGTTTTACTACATAAAAATCTAAAACTTCAAAATGGAGAAATGTACCTAGGTAAAATAAAGAATCGAGTAACAGTCTAGGGAAAAATATGCTACAATGAAGAGAAGAGGCTAACTTCCTTAACTTTTATAGAAACTCTATAATCTTTTTAGAAGGCCTATAATTCAATTAAAAGATCAATAACTCAAATAGAAAAACAAATAATTTATGAAAACTAAAATTCAAAATGATTATTACATATATGTARTCATATTGGGGGGGAATTTGACCACTGAGCCACATTCCCAGGCCTATTTTGTATTTTATTTACAGACAGCATATGAGTTGCTTAGCGCCTCACCATTACTGAGGCTGGCTATGAACTCAWGATCCTCCTGCCTCAGCCTCCCAAAACACTGGGATTACAGTTGTGAGCCACCATACCCAGCAATGTTCATCTTTATTCCTGAAAAAACTCAAATTCAAACTACGATATATTTTCCCCATCAAATGACCAATACTAAAACAGCAGACAGTTTTGATGAGGATGTGAGCAAACATGAACCAATGTAGCCTGCTGGCAGAAGGGCAAGCTGGCAGAACACCTGGCAGCTCTGGCACTAGCTGCCACGCTGAAAGGCAAAGGCCACGCACAGGAATGGCTGCTGTGGACAGGCATGCGGGCGTAAAAAGCCACAGAATATTTTAGAGGCTGTAGGGTACTACYGATAGCCTTGGCTATCATGCTCTACTGGACATAATGTCAGGTCCATCAACCAATGAGGGAATGGCCTGGAATTTATGATGCATATGTATAATGGAATACCAGGCAGCCAGTACAAARGCAGCTCAATGTGGAACTGATAAGAAACCAACCCCCAAACATGAACAAAAGCACAGCACAGAACTTCATGTGTAACAAGCAACCATTCGTGTATGGAATCAAACAAAAATGAAAAAGTTCACAGGGAAAGGGGAAGACATTTGCATAATATGCAAAAAATACTCCCGGAAAGGGACTCCAGAGCCTGGCAGGCCACATCACTCCTCCCCAGCCACACACTGCTCCTGGAGAGGGGAGCAGGACTTTTTACTCCATCTACTCTTGGTACTCTGAATTTTTTGTTTAGACACATTGTATCTAAATAATTACCCTAACATTGCCCAGGCCTTGGTCCCACCCAGAGAGGGCAGAGATGCTCAATGAGTCAGAGCAAACCCAGTGGCAAATTCAATCACCAGCAGAGCTTTTGTGTTTTGCACAGGAAACATTTACCTACAGGAGAGAAGGATTTAGAGCTCACACTTAAGTCATCTGCCCTAGGACCCTATGTGCCCATACTGCAGTGCCACTTTGAGGTCAGGGGCACTTCACAAAGCACTGCTCAGAGATGAGGCCAGCTCCTTGCAGGGCATGGGCATGCAGAGCAGGATAGATGTGACACCACACAGCACAGCCACACGGTGCAAGCTCTGAGCAGCGGGCCACCCTTAGTCCATCACCAGGCAATTGATATCTGGAGTCCTGGGGCCCCCAGAGGTCACAGGCCAAATCATTTTATAATGAATATCAAGAGACTTCACTGAATACTCCTGGGAATTGGTAAATTAAATTGGGGCTTGGAAACTTTTTCTAWAAAACACTTCAGTCTTAATAGAAGGTCTGCTGATGGCGGTAGAGTCCCTGAGCACAGAAAAGGGCTGCTGCTCGTGGTTCTGAACACGAGAGGCCACCTCCAGGCCCCAGGGCTCAAGCCTCACAGGCACAGTTGGCCGAGACAGGCACCGACTGTGGCTCCTGGTAAACCAGGACAACACCGAGACACAGGGAACTGGGCATGGAGTGGCAGCAGAGAGCACACCTAGCATGCACAAGGCCCTGGGTTCAATCCCCAACACCCAAAAAAAGTACACCCAGACCTAGGATTGAAGCAGAGCTGCCCACACCGTCTACCTGACACATAGGCCATCTTGTCTTGCCCTCACTTCCCAGTCTGAGATGAGAGCTGGGTTAGAACTGCGGCTTCATTCCAACTCCCACAGTGCCCTCTCAGGCTGGTGTGAAGAAAAGCCCCACTGGCAGGAGCTCCGCAGTGTGTGAGTGAGTGGACCTCAGACAGGAGCGCCACATGAGTCCCCCCCTCCTCTGTGTGCCAAGGAAACGCTGGGCACATTGTGGGGACGTGCCCGCTGTGAAGCACTCCATAGGCAAAGTCGTTGTCCCGAAGGAGACAGCCCCGGTTCCCCTGCCCAGAGTGTGGCTCAGAAGCCGGCTGCGCTTCAGCTGGTTATGCAGAGACACGGGCCGGAGTCTCCAACACTCGAGTTCCACAACATGCTGCTTTGTAACCTGTGTTTCTTCCATTGAGCCAGACACTGCTCAAGTTCAAGGCAGCAACTTAAGGAACGTTACTTCCAGGGGCTACGTAGCATTCTATCACTGGGAATGACTGTGGCGGTTTCTTCTTTCAACGAACATCTTTATATATGTTTAACCTACACATTTTGAAATAGCTTCAAACTTATAAAAAAAAATTGCAAAAATAGTACAAGGAATTCCCATAACTTCTCCCAGTTCCCCCACCATCAATGTCAAAACCCCAGGATGATTACCGAAACCAGGAGGTTAACGCTGCATGCTGTCAACTACTCCACAGACCTTATTCAACGCCAACAACTGACCTATAAACATCCTGTAACCCGGCTGGACTGCAACCCAGGACCACGGGTCTTCCGCTGTCCCACCCCCTGCATCTTTCCACCTGAGGCAGCTCTTTAGTATTTATTCTCATGACCTTCACCCTTTTGAAGACTACTGGCCAGTTATTTTGTAGGTTGTCCCTTAATTTGTCTGGTGATTCCCTGCAACTAAATCAGGTTATGTTTGTGGCAAACCCAGCAAAGAGCCTTGTCCTCAGGTRGCTCTGGAGGATGACACACCTGGTCACCTGGGCTTCCCGCTGTACAGTTCCGACTGCCTTCACCAAGATGTGCCTCATGGACACCCACTTCAGCCTCCATGCAYCTCATGCCTGGACAGCCTTCCGTGGCCCTGCCAGACACAACACCACATCCACCCACGGGGTTCCCCTGTAAGGAAAGGCTTTCCTCCTCTCCCATTTACCTATTCACTCAATAATTTATAACCTCCTGCTACCCACCTGGGTACACAGTCACACACCTTAGTCCCTGGAGCCCAGCGCAAGTCCATGTTACTTCTCTTCTCACCTGAAATCAGGGAGGCCCGACGCCCTTCTGATTCTGCATGTCCAAGCCCAGAGAAAGCCACTGCTTGTTCTTTTCCTGTTCTGGGCACTCATTCCTATTTCTGGTCTCACGTCTCACCACTTCCGTCAACCGAGTGACTGGGGCTGCATCTGCGGTCCCCTGGGCTGGGATTGAGGAGAAAAGCCTCTGCCCATGGATCAGAGCAGTTAACTGGCCTCCACAGAAGCCCCACATTGGCCCTCTGGCCTCAGCATTAAGTGTTTCACAGTTGAGGAGGAATTCTAGGCAACAGCAACCTGTGGCAGCCCGACTGCACGCTGGCTGACTAGACGCTCCTGTTCACACCTATAACCAACAACCCACCACTGTAAACACCAAGTGCAGCCTCTCTGGTCAAAAGCAACAAGGCACTGAACTCGGAATAAAGGCTGCAGCACGATTCCACATAATGACAACACTCGAGATCAGAGCACGGGTGGACAGCTGCAAATCAGGTCATTCTGAGGCATTTACTGAGTGATGGTCTTACAGAAGGTCGATGCTGGTTAAGTGGAAAGCACAGAAAGAGGCCCAGTGCTGAACTGTCCCAAGAAACCCTTGCAGGGTCACAGAGTAAGACCCCGGAGCCAAAGAGATGTGATGGGAATCTGGCTCCACCTCCCTGCTGCATGGCTTTGGCCATTTCACCTCCCTCAGCTTCTGTCTGTGGACTGGGCCAGAGTAACGGTGGCATGTGGTGGGYGCATGGCATCAAGAGGCTCGGAATGTGAGGTGTGCGAGGCACACACAGAAACCCTGGTACACTTATGAGGGCGACAGGGAAGGACGCTGCTCCACTCCACACTGGACAGTCTTTGGCCAGGACTTGGGTAATAAATGCAATGCATGTCACCCACAGCACCGTGGACGAGAACAGAGAAGCACATTCACACGCACCTGTATTTTTGACTTCATTGCTTGAAGGGACTGGACCATGGGGATACAATAGGCCAGAGTTTTACCTTTAAAAAGAGCACAAAAGCAGTTAAAGGGCAAACAGGCTCTGCTGTCCCTGGYAGCTGGGAGAAGATCAAGTGCACGTCAAGAGACCTCACTCATCTGCCATAATTCCTGATTCTATTTTGTAAGTTCAGTGCTTCTAAAAAGTCTGAAGCTTTGTCTCCTTTATCCACCCAACAAGGGAGGTTAACGGCATTTCCCAAGTTACACAAATGCTCAACCTGATGGCGATCTGCAGAAGCTTGACCTTCCTCCTCTGGAGCCCCTTTAACCTCTCTGATGAGCCTCATGGTCAATCAGGCCTCTGCAGTGCTGATGAGATCAGTGTGAGCCCTGGGAAACCCAGCAAGGCAGAAGTCCCAGCCCCTGCCCAGGGCTGCACTGGCAGGAGTGGAGAACAGCTGTCTGCAGCACTGAGGGCACAYGAGGGGCAGAGGGGCAGTTCGCCCAGGAAGAGCTCTGCCCCAGGACCACAGCTGGCATCCAAGCAGCCTGTGCTCATGCCAGACTGTTTTAACAGCAGAAGAAGAGTCACCCCAACCAGTGAGGACGGGTGGCTCTGGCCACAGGTGGTGGGACTTGGCCCCAAGGAAATAACAAGAGAGCCAGCTACTGCCTTGTCACTGCTGACCACATCACCACCCACTGTCCCCTTCCCTTCATTCTGTCAGCAAATGTGGGACTCTAATAAGACACAAGCATGGCCTCCTTCCTCCAAACAAGGAGAAACAGCTACCAGTGCCAGACACAGAGCCCACTGCACGACCATGGTCCTGGGGCCATGGAGGAGTGCAGCTAGACATCACTGACCTGAGCCTGTCTGGGAGCGCACCAGGGCGTCTCTGCCTTCCAGCAACACAGGAATGCTCTGCTTCTGAACACTGGTATCACCCAAAAGAGAAGACATGTCTCTATCAGGTGTGCAGGCAAAGATGCAGGGGACAGAGGAGGAGCTGCCCCATACTCTGAGCTGTCTACCCATGGTCCCCTAAGAAGTCACCTAAAGTGCAAGGGAAGGACCTGAGAGGCTGCTGGTTATTAGGATAAGTCCCTAGTAAATTTGTTTGAATTTGGCTGAAAATGGTGAATCAAGTCAGAGATTGGCCATTGTTTTTAAAAAACTAGATGGCATGACAACAAATTAGAGTCACCACAGTAACATGCCACATGCTCTCTCGCCTTCTGTAATAGAGATTACAGACACGACAAAGGAGAGTTCCATTTGGAAGAGCAAAGGGAAGTATGTGAGCTACCCAACCAGCAGCACGGTCCCCTCCCTAGGCATCTGTCAGACGCTGAAGGAYGTGACTGCAGTGCATTTAAGGCCAGTTACAGGAGTCATTGAAATCTGGCTCACCAAACAAACAAAAAGGGGCTGGGATGTGGCTCAGTGGTAAAGCGCTTGCTTAGCATGTGTGAGACCCTGAGTTCAATCCCCAGCACCACCCCCCAAAAAGAAAAGAAGAATCTGGTACTAAGAGGTCCTCATCCTCWTTCTTCAATATTCTCGTTTTGACTTATAGCAATAAAAAGCGATCACGACTAAAGTACAGAAGTACACGTGCTCTAATGAGGCCGCTCTCCTCCCCTGCCTGACCCTGTAACAAACACAAAAATTTTTCAGTTTCCCATGTTATCTAACCACATACTTCTGTTTGACCCTGACCTTACTATTTAAAAATGAAGTGACCAAATTATGTATTCAGGTCAAATCATTCTCAGGGAAGAACTGGCAACAGCAGATCTTCTTAAACAGACTCTCTTGAGGATTAAAGTGGAAACAGAGGCTCTCCGTTTGCCACGTGGGAACCCKAACATCTGAGTGTGAGGCCAAGCCCTTAAGGGCCCACAGCCCAGCTCTGTTCTCCAGTGCCAAGACTCACAACCCGCTCTGCCCTCCACAGATGACGGTTTTCTTCTGTCTTTCCCACTTAAGCCCTAAGAAAGTTAAGAGCCTAAACTCTTACCTGGTCATAGTGCATATTTTTAAGACAGTACTTATTGTAGAAACCTGAAAGAGAAGAAGAAAACAAATTTTTTTTTTATACAAACATATTTAATGGAAATGACACACAAAACAGGAGAAAACACTAGAATGACACCGATTGCCAGGATCAAGTGAAGTTCCACCCACCYAGTGGTTCTCAACTGGGAGGCAATTCTGCTGCCCCCACACATGTGACAATATTTGGAGAAATTTCTGGTTGCCACAGCTGGGAGAGGGTGCTACTRTTATTCCCCAGGATGCTGTTAAACATCTGAATGTGAGCAGCACAGACACAACAAATCACYTAGCCCAAACTGCCCACGGTGGTGAGGGGAGACCTTGGTCTACACACCATGGGTGAGAAAATGACCCTCCATAAGCCACCTGAAGAAGGGCTGCGGGAGCTGGGCTTTCATGGCACAGGAAACCAGGACACGCCTCCTCAGCCCACAGTAAGCCTAGGAAACATGTTCATGGTACCAAAAAAGGGGGAAAGTGGTTTCTGTGTGCTGAAGACACCCTGAAAGCTGTCTCTTCCACCTTCATCATCTGAAGCTGCACACCCCTTAACTACAAGAATGCTGCTTCCTACTCCTGGGGCCAATGTGATGTTTGCAATCACTAACRGCTTTACCACATTTATGCAGTAATTAGCAAGCTATTTCAAGTCCAGTAAGCGAAGCCCTGGCCTCAAAGTGCATCAGGTGGGCAAAGTCTCCAGGCCTTAAAATAAGAAAAAAAAGATGGGGGTGGGGCAGGTAGGGCCAGGAGACAGAGAAGAGTAACCTGGGCGTAGCTCAACCACGCCAGCAGCCAGTCCAGCAGTCCGAATGCACTCAGGTAACTAGGAGCAAAAGCAGACACTGAAAGACATGCAGGCACAAGACGATGTATGAGGCAGGAGAGTACTCACGAGATGTGGGTGCAGGCCCAGCTCCTGGAAGGTCTCCGGAGCAAATACTTGTTCTCGTACCTGATGTACCACAGGTCTGCAGAGGACAGACAAAGCCCAGGATCAGTGCCCATGCCAACCAGGAGAAAGGCAGACACAGGCCATTCCTCACGCCTGAGGTGCAGCCGCACCTGACCATACCTGTGGAGTTCTGGGATGTCAGGGTTATTTTTGAACAGCGATGAAGTCTTGACGCATGGCTTATCCTCTTGCTTTCGATCTCCTGTGTTAGCCCAATTCTTCTTTGGAGACAATGATTTTTGTGCATTGCCCCTAAAAGCCCTCCTAGTTTCTCCAACACCAGTTTTGTTGGCTGGGAGAAAGGACGTTTCCTTCTTCCGTTTTGCTGGGGGAGCCTCACTGGACACTTGGTCTTTTCTCTTGGTAGCCTTTGCTTGCTGTTATTCCCCAAAGGAAAGATCAAGAGGTGCATTAGTCCATGAAGACAGAGAGCAGAGTGAAGCCTGACTGCCCTCGGAATTGCAGCTCTTCCTGCAGGGATCATTACGCCCCATATGCCAAGCCACAGTTTAGGGTTTGCAACCAGATTCTTTCACCACTTTTTCCAAAATGGAAAAAAAGAAGGAAAAAAAAAGTCTCAGTTCATTCATCTGCATGGCCTCACTGTCTATCTTGATCCTTAAAYCACCTCAAGGAGGGCGAGGATCAGGGAGGAAGACGTGCCTCCTGAAATGATGTTCACCAATTAAGACTGTTTGCAGGGAAGTGAGAACCACCTGGTGCAGTGTGCCAGCTACTGCCCACACCCCTAGAGATGCCCCTGAACAGCAGGAGCAGAGGGGCAGGAAAGTGAACCTCTCCATCAACAGAGCACCTCAAGCCTCAACACGGGAGGAAGCGCAATGCTGCAGCCCAGCTTACGCACCCAGGAAGCAGGAACCTTCATTACTGCTCTACCCAGCTCTTGGCTCTGTCATCTTCTCCCCTCAAGCTGCTCCTCCAGATTCAGATGGTCTGGAGACAGCATTACTTGCCATTGCCATTCCAAATGAGAGACTGCTCCATCCGTCACTTGGATCACAATCGGTTCCAACCCAGTTCCATCCCTCCCTGCCTGATAGGAGACTATAAGACTACAGACTAGCCACGGCTAGGCGTTTCCAGCCTGTAGCTTATTTCCATAACAGGAATGAGATTAAAKGCACAAAGGGGAAGTTTCCCTAGGAAGAGAAACATCCAATTCCTCTATTGTCTTTCACTTTTCCCCCCAACTTACTCAAGAATGTATGAGCACCTCTTAAGTAGCCAGTGCTTGTTATTCTTGAGTTTTGGAATAGGTTATTTTCCTCTTGCCTGAAATAATGGCTTGTGTGTGCACACTGACTGGCATCAGCCTTGACTGTAACTTCAGGCTAACCTACTAATACAAACCACAGTTATTTTTCTTGAACGATCATAGGATTTCTTTACTTTAAAAAATTCTATAAATATAATTTCAAATATGTAATACTAATAACGTATGTACTGAATTGCTTCACTTCGTAAATTTATTTTTTTTACAAAGCCTCAAGTTTATGAACTTCAGGATTAAAGAAAGGGGTGAAATCAAGTTTCAGGCCTGTTGAATCATCTGCAAGGTGCTATGAAATTTGCTGACTTCATCTGATTTACACTGTCTGAGAGGGGCATCAAAGGCCTGAAGGCCTCTCCTACTATGTCTGGGACTCCTAATCACACCTTCCCTAGCAGAAGGCTTTGCAGCCTCTGCCCACACACTCCATACAGCCCAGGAGGCAGCCTATTCTGCTCCTGACCAATCCCAGGATTAGGAAACTCTTTGSGCCCTCAGGAAAGATCTGCCTCTTTGAGCATCCACAAGCTGAGGATGTGCTCTGAGACACACAGGGCTCCTGTGCTCCATTCCTCAAGCAGAGTGGCTTTCCATGACTTACAACTCCCTCCTCCCTCTTTGAACTAAATATTCCTAGTAGTATCTAATCTTTAGAAACCTTATCTCCTGATCACGCTTCATTAACCCATCAACATCTCTCTAAAAGCAAGCACAATCATAGGTTTTTYCACTGCTCTGAGGCTAAAAGTGAAAATCCGCAGTGAGATCCACGCAGCCTCCAGAACATGGCCTCAGCCAACGTCAGTAGCTTCAGCCTCACCCTCTGCCATCCTGGCTTTCTTGATTCCCAGGACATGCCATGCGTCTTCCCTCCTCTAGGCCCAGCACCTGCTATTCCCACCAGGGGGACTCCAACCTGCCTTCTGGCTGGCTACAGTGCTCACCTGCCCTACCTTGGGAAGCACCTTTCCTGCCCCCGCTGTGCTCCATTGGGCAAAAGTTCCAGGATCCTGACTCTCCAGCACCCTGACTCTCCTTTGTGGTGCTCAGCACAATAACAAGCAAAGCACCTTGTCTGGTGCCTGCCTGCCTGCCTACTAGGCTGCAAACTTCCTAGGGAAAGGCCCAGCTTGTCCTGTACAACACTGCCAGCCCTGCATGGCCCATGCCTGACACAAAGTCAGCACTCGACAAACACCTGTGAGGCAATTTTGTGACTGACACGAAATGGAGTATGCCCTTYACATATCTGGACACTGCTGCCATTGCTAGCTCTTCTCCCCAGCAACCATAACATACCCACTCATTAGTTGTCAATTATCTTGATTTTGAACATACAAAGTTCCAAGATTAGCCAAGACCCTGAGGAAGTCACAGACAAGTAGAAGATAAGTGTCAAACCATAAATTCAAATCCATGTTACTATAACAGAGGACACTAACAAGGCCTATGGCAAAGGGAGGGAGGAAAGAAATCAGGGACTTATTCTGAGGTGGCGTTTGAGCAGAGGGAACAGGGGCATAACAGATCTACTAAAAATTAGCCGTACAACATTAAGCTACTTCCCTGAGTCTGTTCCTGTGCCTGTGAAAGGCAGGAACTATGGGAGGTGATCTATAGGGCCTGCCTAGCCCTGTGAGCCTGCGGTACCATGTCCTTGGTATTAATAAACACACCGAGTAGTCACTATATGCCAGGCAGTACATGATGCACTCACATGAATTAATTATTATTTATTAATACAGGCAATGGTATCACCTTATTTTAAAATGAGAACACTCAGAGAGTGAGGTAATTTGTCCCAGGATCACTGAGGGAACCAGGCTTTGTGCCAGCATTATGATTCTACATACTGATGAAATGCTATAATGGGACTTATTGAACTGAACCCTGCTTGGCCATAAAACATGTAATTTAATTTCTAGAAGGATATACACCGAAATGTTAAAAGTTATCTCTCCGAGTTTGGCAATTATGAGTGCAGTTTTATCTTCTTTCTGAACTTCCTAAAATGAACTTGTATCAATTTAATAATCAGAAAGCAATTGGAAAGAAAATATCCCATGCAGTGTTAGGCATGGCAACATAACTTGAGCCTTTAAGATGCTTGCAAATTCGGCACATTGGCTACCCACCAGCAGACCTGGTCAGCAGGTGGATCACTCCCATTGGAGACACACATTAAAATGCAGATGCAGACCCCGCCACAGCTGATACCTGTCCCTGCTTCTCAGTTAATCCCATTTGAAACAGTGATTAAAGCAATCAAAAACTAGATACTGTTTAGTCAATTCACTCAAAGTTTTCGGGCTTGGTCTATATTAGTTCTTCCTTTGTATTAGTAAGTGCTTTCTATGTATCTGTTACTAGACTTGTATGTGATACAAGCAAACCTACTGACTTCCTTGTGTAGCAATCTATTATCCAAAATGTGACAATATGATTTTTTTTTTAGCACTGGCACTTAGTAGGTGCCCCTGTGGGTCAATACGTAGAGTCTCAAGCTCTTCTCTATATTCCTCCTCCTACAGACTCAGCTGTACCAGTGGCTAGCTGATGACTGCGTGCTCCCGATCATCTAAATCTTAAGAGTTTGTTGTTACACACTCAAGAAAAGGGAAGAATAAAATATCACCAAATAGAACCCAGACGGGGGGTGTTAGCTGGTGCAAGTCTGTTCACATGTGAAGAACTTCGTCCTCGACACTGCTGGGCTGAACCCACTCATGCAACTGACTTTTCAGTGGAATCACGAATTGCTTTGTAGGAATAACCCCCMAAAACCCAAAAAAACAAACAAACAAAAAACAAAGCCCCAAACCCGTCGAGTCCCTCCTGCTCTTCTGCAATCGGAGACCGCACCGGCCTCCGCCCCGCGGTGCTCCTTCCCGGGGGCCACAGCGGCCGGCCGCTGAGCTCAGGCGCCGCCCGCAGCCAACCCGCCGCGGTCCCTTCACTCACCATCCGCGCCCTCCCGGCGGCCTCCATGGCAGGCGCGCGACACGTGGGCGGCCGGGCCGCCACCGCCCCTTCCGGGTCCGGGCACCGAGCACGCGGCGGCGCAGGGGCCGAGCGCGGCCGGGGAGCGACGGAGACGCTCGGGGTGCCGCCGCGCTCCGAGCCCGCGGCTCCGACGCAGCCCGCGTGGCCAGCCCGCGGCGAGGTCCCCGAGGGCCCGGCCGGCCGCCGGCAGCGGGAGGCTCGAGGCGGCCGCAGGCTCGCGCGGTTTCCAGACAGGCAGTGTTGTGGCCGCCCGGCAGGGCTGGTCGCCTGGCAACGCGGGGTCCTTCCTGGCTCGGCGGCGCTCGCGGCCTGAGCGGAGGAGGCCGCCGCGGAGGGCGCTGGGGGCGGTGGCCGCGCGGCGGGGGCGGCCGCGGGGCGGCGACGCGGGCTGCGCGCGCCGGGAGCCGACCTCTGCGCGGAGGGGACATGAACGCGGCCGACAAGGCCCGGCTGGGGCCCGCGGTCGACGGGGCCGCGCCGCCCGAGGACGAGGAGGGCGAGGGGGGCGGGAAGGACCCGGCGGCGGACGSGGCCCCCGGGCCCAGCGCCTCGTTCCGCCTCATGGTGACTCGGCGGGAACCGGCCGTGAAGCTGCAGTACGCGGTGAGCGGCCTGGAGCCGCTGGCCTGGTCGGAGGACCACCGCGTGTCGGTGTCCACGGCCCGCAGCATCGCCGTGCTGGAGCTCATCTGCGACGTGCACAACCCGGGCCAGGACCTGGTGATCCACCGCACCTCGGTGCCCGCCCCTCTCAACAGCTGCCTGCTCAAAGTAAGTGCGCCCGGCGGGGTCGCCGCGCGTCCSGAGCGCGCGGGGGGCGMCTCTCGCACGGCCTCGCAGGCCGAGGGGGAGGGTCGCCGCCGCCTGGGAGAACTCGAGCTGGCCCGCGGCTGGGCCCCCGCCGGGTCCCGCGGCCCTGGCTTCGCCCCTGCTTCTGGCGGGCTGCTGGCGCTGATTGCCCTCCGCGGTGCTCCCGAGACTCCACCCCCTGTTGACCCAACCCCGGACCTGCCCCTAGCTTTGCTCCTATTGTCTGGGCCCGGCTCCCCGAGGCCCTGGGCTGGCTTTGTTTACTGTGTCGCGTCCTCTCGGGCCGCTTTTSCTTTGGAGAAGAAAAACTGGTCCTTTCCATTGTATTACTGGTTCATCGGTTTTGCTGTGAATGATCCTTATGTCACACCTGGGGCCCAAAGGTAAACACTGGTTCTCGGGGTTTACACTCTAGTTTTTCTTTACTAGCTGATAATCTTTGGGAGGTGCAATGCAAAAGCCTCTGGAAACAGATGCAGTGCTTAAACTTTCAAGTCCAAGGTCTCTGTATAAACTTGGTACTTTCAGCTTCTTAAAACCTAAGTTCACCTCAACTTCAGTAGAGTTTCTAAAGTTTTGTTGTTTGTTTTGTTTTTTTAATATTTTTTTTTTTTTAGTTTTCGGCGGACACAACATCTTTGTTTGTATGTGGTGCTGAGGATGGAACCCGGCCGCACGCAATGAGCCACATCCCCAGCCCCAAGTTTTATTGTTTAATCAGGTTTTTAATAGTAAGACTTTTACTTTGTTTTACTTTGTTCATTTTAGTGGCTTAGAAATATGAAAACTTAAAACATGAATGATGTGACTCTACTTTGTGTACAACCAGAGACATGAAAAATTGTGCTTTGTTTGTATAATATGAATTGAATTGCATTCTGCTGTCAGCTATAATAAATCAGAATAAATTAAAAAAAGAAATATGAAAACTTCCTTGTCCCTTTAYAGATTTTTGTGTTCTTAAGTACAGTAAGCGTCCTGTCAAAGTGTATTATATAGTTATTCACCACTGATTGAGTAAGTGCCTGCCCTCATGGAGCTGAGATTCGTTGGCTGGTTATGAACAAATAATAATGCAGTAACAGGTAGTGATACCCACCATAAAGATCACATCCACAAACAGAGATGGGATAATTGGAAAGTAAAGTTTTACTGAACTCTGGACAGCCATTCTGAGTCTGAGTCACTCACTGTAGGTAGAGTGGCAGTAGMCTTTATTGCTTTTTAGCAAACTTAATTCAAGTTTCAAACACAACTTGAGTGTGAATRTGAAGATATCCTTAAATCCTTGGGATATTTTAAATTTGACTCATCTTGCCACATTGGACATTTGCCACCACTGTTTAAATAGTACCAGGAAATCCTTCTTTAGCCCTCTCATGATTTGATAGAGAGCTGACATGAAGAGGCCTCATGGGATAAAACTGGCGTAATGGTAAGGATGTAACAGTCCATCAGCACTTTGATGGCTCAACCCATTGATGATCCCTGCAGACTTAAATCTACTCAGTGTTGTCCAACTTTGCTTTTGTTCTGACCCAAATGACAGGCAGTCTGCAACCTGGATCACAGTTACAGTGTGTAGCACTCCTACGCTCAGACACATGCTGAGCCCTTTTTAGGCTTTTGCTGATTCTGTTATTTAGATTATGAATTTCTTTTAGGAAAATCTGCAGATATTTAACAGTTCAAACATTTATGACCAGCCTATTTCTAAGTTATTTTCTTGGGTGCTGACATTTTAAGAAACCTATAATTTTCAGTGGCTCAGGAGGTTGAAACAGTAGGATCACAAGTTCGAAGCCAGCCTCTGCAACTTAGTGAAATCCTAAGGCAACTTAAGGAGATCCTATCTCAAAATAAAAAGGTCTGGGGTTGTAGCTCAKAGTTAGTGTTCCTGGGTTAAATCCCTGGTACAAACAAATAAAATCCTATTATTTAGAGGACCTTCCAATGCTTCCTGTCAAATAATGGAAACTGGGTCATCCCAAGGTTCCTATGGATACCCAGCCTGAGGTCATCCCCACACACCTTCCCATACCCACCTCTCACCAAGTTACCTCTGAAGAAGAGTTAGGAACCCCCAGAATACATCTCTTACTCCGAAGATGTCCCACATTCTCCCTTGAATATGTACTCCTTSCTTTACTAAGTAAATCTCTATGCCTCTACAGACACATGTTGAAATTTTTGTCACCTTCATTAAGCTCTCCACTTGTCCTGAGTTGAGGCCCCCTTCTCCAAAAACTCCTCAAGATCCTTCTCCAGTGACATCTCTTCCCTAGTGACAGCACCACTTTGTATGTACCCTACWTTTTACATACTTATATTAGGTCTCATTAACAGTCACTTAATCCTCAGAGAATACTAAAAATAATCTTCATTACAATGTTTATCAAACACTAATGTGTATTACATATTTTGATTTAGTTAAATTTCTGAGACATGTGTTATTATTTTGTAAATGAGAAAATTAAGACCAAAAGGTTTAAACAATTTGCACACAGTCGTGGAACTGGAGTATAATGGAACGAGCATTTGAACATGAAGTATGGGATCATGGTTCAGATTTCATTCTGGTGTGCTTTGTTTTGGTGTGTTTCATTGTATCTACCCATGTAGCCACCTACAGCTCCTTTCATTGGGATTTCTAGTCTGTGGCTGTCCATGGGTCTATAAGATGTCCAAGAAATTATCTTAAATGTGTTTCTAAAATCAAGATGTGCTGCCTAAAACACTGTTTCCAGAGTGTTCTTTAGGATGACAACTCCCCCGAAAGGTCCTACTTTAAATTTTTATTTTTTATTTTTGGCTAACTCTAGTTAAACAAGTCTGTACTTTGAAAGTAGGAATGATATGTAATGTTTTGTATTTCCAAAGCTATTTGGACATAGAACTGTTTTTCAAGAAGCAGTTTAGGGGGGTAGTGTTCTGTGAATCACTTTAGGAAAAGTTAGCCAACTAATTCATTAGGTGGGCAACTTTTATCTGGCAGTGTTAGCAGGAAGGAGAAAAAGACTCGTCCAGTTATCTCTTGCTAGTTTCTAATGATTGCTACTGCATCATGCACTCACTGTTCATTTGTTAATATGCTGACAAATTTTATTCCTAATCAGGCTTATTAGCTTGCCTGTGTTCATCATTTGGGGAATCTTCTTAGACTATTGTTGCACTCTGGTTTTCTGACAGGTCTCCAGTTGTCTAAGCTTTACCCAGAATGCAGCTTGTAGTTCTGAGTTAATGTTTTCCAAGTTCTTTTTGTGTTCCAGAGTGTAATTCTTCTGTGCTTGGGGACCTACTTAAAGTGGCTTTTATTATATTCATATATGCCTGAGACTTGAACTCTTTTAGTCATGTTTTGCCCTTTCAAGTTTGAAGATCAGTCTCTATTAATAAGGAGATTGACACTAAAGAATTGCAAGATGCTACTTTCTTTCTCTCTCCATTTCTCTTAAGAAATCCTTATGCTTACAGCATAACAAACCGTCTTTTGGTTCACCTCTGCTTTTTCTGGCTATTTCATGGCTTCAAATCAACTTTTTTATAGTTTTTGTTTTGTCATTTACCTCTTCCTCCACGTTTAATATCCCCTTAAAAGTCTTTATAAAGAACTTGCCATCATACCGGTAGTCGTTGTTAGTGTGTTATGTATGGACCTAGAGAAGGGAGAGGTGAATGATAGCTAGAATGATCTCGGAAGGCCTCCTAGAATCAGGCCTGGTAAGCTGGGTGGGATTTGGATAGGGGACGGACTAGGCAAGGGGTCAAAGTGAAGCAGTGGAGGGAATGTTCAAGAACTAGAGGCAGAGTAGTCTGATTGGAGCCATCTTACTGTATAGCATGAGAGCAGTTGGTGTCAGCCCTCAGGGTAGTTCACAAATTAGGGTTTGTATTGTAAGGGTATTATAAAAATTCTAGTATCTAATTGTATCAAAGATGAATATGGATACATATTTTATAAGTTTTTAGCACCTGTACTGTTCTGTGACAAGCTCAGCTAAGGACTCCATTCTCTCTTAAGAATCAGCTACATTTTGTTGCTTTTGTCAAGAAGCATATGGGAACCAGTCTGTGAATAATGACATTTATTCTGGCCCTTAAAAAACAATTACTGTGGGGCTGGGATCATGGCTCAGTGGTAGAGTGCTTGAGGCACTAGGTTCGATTCTCAGTACCGCATATAAATAAATTAATAAAATAAAGGTCCATCAACAAGTAAAAAAAATTAAAATTAAAAAAAATTACTGAGGCTGGAGTTGTGGCTCWGTGGTAGAGCGATTACCTAGCACATGGGAGGTGCTGGGTTCAATTCTCAGTACTACAAAAAAAAAAGAATGAATTAAAAGTATTGTGTCCGGGGCTCACCCTGGTAGCGCACTCACCTGGCATGTGCGGGGTGCTGGGTTCGATCCTCAGCACCACATAAAAATAAAATAAAGATGTTATGTCCACTGAAAACTAAAAATAAATATTAAAAAAAAAGAAAAATGTATTGTGTCCAACTAYGACTAAAAAATAAAAAATAATTGCTATTTCCTTATGTAAATACTCAGTCTTTGGACATGATCTTTTAAATGTGTTTAATGCCAAAATTAATGGACTTGACATCAAATTATTATGTATGTTATCATAAATACTCAGTTAATACAAGTGAACATTTATCTGATAG